AAGAAGGTTGACTTTCAAATATTGTTTTTATTGTGTAAGCTAAATATCTTTGGAAACATGGGTGGTGAATGGGTGGCCCTCCAGATGTTGTGGGACTGCAACTTCCGCCAAATCTTGCAATTGGCTAATGTAGCTAAGCTCCAGAAATACCCATAGAGCTAATATTTCTCTATCCCTAAGGTGTTTTATCTCAAGTGAAAAAGTGTTCACCATATAATCCCTTTTGTGAAGCATGGTCTCTTTAAATATAGAAACTGATACAAACTGGGTGCAGGACAAATGAGAAATGCATGCTGAAATTTAGGCAACTGAATTTTGCACAACCTCAGATCAACAGTTTAACTCAGAGGTTAGTCTATTTCTATGATTTCAGCTTACATTCAAGCCTAACAACTGTGTTTTAATTCTAATGACAAACATTCGACTACCAATTAAGAATCGGGGTAGATAAAAGTGCTGCACCCCATATGTTTCTGAACTACATCTTCAACCAGTCCTTGCATGTACAACTACCATGCAGAAAAACTGAGTTGCAATACAACATCATCTGAAGGGCTGCATTTTGCCTACTTCACAGAGACCATATTTATTTACTTTTATATTCTTCAGATATGCACCAAATAACTGACTGGAGGACAATCAAAACTATTCAGATCGTGTCCTGTAGTGACTAAGGAAGATAGGCTATCTTTTAAAATGTATCCAAAATAGTAATATAATATAGTCTTACATGGGACAATTCTATTAATAGGTATACTTCATTAATTCCATATTGCAGCTACTGTAATACCACTATCACAATATAATAGAAAACGTAATCACACTTACTTCCCAGTTGAATTATAACTCATAAAATAATTTAATATCTCCTTATTCTGTTCCATGGCAATTTCTGCTTTTCATTTGTTAATTATTAGATTAATAAATGTTCTTACATGAAGATAACATTAGGTTATTTCAGATATTGTTTTCTTTTTCGACCTTATTAAGTGTTCTCTCATCAGATGCAGAAAATCCTATTTTTATTGTTAGAAAGCAGATATTGCCAAGAGTGCAGAAGTAAATGGAAAATTTTAGGACTCTAAATCAGTGATCAAAGAATCACTCTTTCATATCCTTGCCCAATATTCTAAAAACCAACACACAAAATTAAATTTAGTTTAGTTTCCACAAGAACAGGTAGGCTATTGGGAAGTCACCCAATGTTCATTCAAAGATATGAAGGAGTAACAGAATTCTAACATAGTGCCTCTTATATGGTTTTGTAAAATGTACTGGAATAGTGGGGACACTGGCTCTTAACTGTGTTCTAAGATTGAGAATGGAACAGTAATCTAGGGATCCTGATCTATATGTCCCACCATGTTTTGGTTATCTAGCATGGAATGAGCTGAATTCCTTTGGTGAACAATGTTAAAAAGGAGGTGTACCATGAAGAAAATAAACTACTTATCTCACTCAGAGGGTGATATCTGTACTAATACTCAACTTTCAAGTATTGCTTTTTATGACTGAGATTCCCAAGGCTATGTGTTTCAGGGCTCTTGCTCATGGACCATTATCATAATTCAACAGCCCTGCATGTCAGTGCGTGAAACCTATATTACTCTAAGGGCAAAGAGACTGTTCCAAGCCCATTAGACTCAAGTATGGGATAAAACATTCCAAAATATTTTACAGACATTCAGAACAAACAGCACTTGTTGTTAAAAACACGTATAAAAATAACACTCACTGTGAAACATTCCAAAAATACAAGAAGACATACAACTATTACAGGGTACAAATACTGAAAAGCAAGGGACCCCAGATTTATTGGCAATAGCAGCAGTTGTGCCACACAGGCAAATACAGAGATTGATTGACACAATATCCCCAAAAACAGTGCAAGGAAAGATTTAATACAGAGTCTGCTACAAGCATGCCAGACATCTAGCGCAGAGAGCACCCGTCGCAGCCTGCATCACCCTTTGACCAGCAGAAAGGGCTCCGCCTTTTATAGTTTGCAATAGGTTTCTCCAGATAGCAGCAAGAACATCAAAAACCACTCGCTTCAAGCACCCACAGTGTGATGCACACTCCCTCACAAATTAGAGGCAGTTCTGAAGAGGAAGCGTGGCCTACTCTACTGGCTAAGATTTGAGACAAGCGAGTTGCGTTTTTTGTAATAGAATATATAGTTCTACAATCACAGCATACCTATAACGCAAGAGGCAGAGAAGGTAATAATATTATGACACAAAAAGGTGCTCACTGTTCTCTGACTAATAACCAAATGCTTGAAAACAGAAGAACTTGCTCTTCTGCTAACCACCTTGCTTAACAAGCAGGAGAGGCAGGGGTATACATTTCCACTAGTCCTATCTTTGATTGAAACATGCAAATAGATTAAGCACTGCACCACTAACTCATTTTGCCTCATTACTATGAACCAAGAGTCATCTTGGAAGAGGCAGTTGAAATTGAAATACAGCTACGTGGAAAATAAAGATTTCTATTTGCTTCAAGGCTACACATCTGTGCTTTCTCCAATCCAATCCAACTATATTTGATTAGAAATGTATTTTCTCTTTTGAAATCTGATGTATTATGCAGGTTATGAAATACCAACTCCTATATGAACTCCACCACACAATTCAGAGTTTGCATAAGGATTTGGTAACCCATAGTTGGAAAATCTCTAAACTGAGCTTGAAATCTCCTAGGATGTCTTCTTAGGACCCTAAACACTTTAAATTGGCATCTAGAAACTTAGACATGTTCTCATTTCTGGACATGTGAAATATTGGCTTTTAATTATTCTATAACTGTGGTTCTCCACCTGCAGCTGGAAGACACTATTTTAATATCCACTGCAGTACTGTACTTTCCTCTTGGCTATTCTCTACCATAGCCTAGAACAGTGGTTCTCAACCTGTGGGCCTCCAGATGTTTTGGCCTCCAACTCTCCGAAATCCTAACAGCTGGTAAACTGGCTTGTTTTTCTGAGAGTTGTAGGCCAAAACACCTGGGGTCCCACAGGTTGAGAACCACTATTCTAGACTGTCTCTAGCTACCATAACAATTTCTACGGATTCTATACTATAAAGTCTGGGACTCTTCATACCTCAATTATTGCTATCATTTGTTCTATAGCGCAATTATAATTGCCATCTATACAAACACATATAAGTACGGGTAGATATTCATACACAGAGAAGCAAAAATATATATTCCATTCCTGATCTCAAACTATAAATATATAGTATAGCAGCTTCCTAGTGAAAAAATACATTCAATTCCTGCATCTTTTCATTCATTACTGAATCTTGAAATTCAAGCTTTTTTAAAAAAAAAAATGAACATGCAAATTCAAGTTAATTCCACACACAGTAGAGAGCAATAAAATGAGATGCTCACTCCCTCTCCTGACCAGCAAGGAACAGGGATTAAAAGGTTGATGCCTTACAGAAAAATGCACGACAGGATTCAATTCATGCTGAACTGAACTGAAGAAAACAAAAGTAAAATCTGGCTGAAAAAGTCTGGCCCTGAGACCAACTTTGCCACTAAAACTCAAATGTGCCACATGTAGTGTACTCTGCAATCCCATAAGAGAGGGAGAGGCAATATTATAGGGCATATTATGAAAAGGTAGCAAAGGAGCTAATTTCTAATCTGTCTTGAAATGATTAAATCAGCCATCAAATGTCATTTTACTTTAGTGACAGCAACTGACAGCAATTAATAAGGGGTGCCCTTTTTATCTGCCTACATTTGGGTCCCATAGATGTTTTGTTTTGACAACCAAACAGTGGCTCTTTCACAGTAATGAGAAGCTGTATTTTTATATTTTTAAAAGCTTGTTCGTTATAATGTATATGAGAGAATGATATAGTTTAAATCTTTCAGATAAGTGGAAAAACGGCATTCAAATGCAAAAGCCACATGCTACCACTGGGTGCACACTGTTTAAATGGGGCAACTTCTAAAAGGGCAGAAAAATCTCTAAAATCTAATCTAATACAGTACTTTTTCACAATACTTTAAATGGATTTTTAAAATATCTTTTATTTATCCACTGGAAAAGCAGAATCCTTCACACAATAATCTAGCTCTATAAAGCTTTAAAATAATCTACTCATTCTGACTTCTCATCAGATTCTATTCAAGGGTAGAAGCAAAGAAAAAATCTGGACCAAAGAAGCCTCTCTTCCCCATAGAAAGTTGAAAATAAAGCAGAATGCTCCCAACCACACAGAGCCTGAATTGAGAACCCTGCTCCAATGCTGCCAACAGGAAAACTATGTATTTTGACAGATGATACTGTAATTTGCCAACACCAAGATAATGCAGGGTTAAAGGCTCCCCTAAGCTGTAAAAGATACCAAGGTAGCCACAGCAACCACAGTTTGAAGAAGTCAAGTTGCTTTTGATGTTTTGCTAGTTAAATATCATGTAAATAATATTCAGATGATATTGTATGTGGAGTTGTTCAGGTGATCACAGAAATCCAGTTAACATGTTCCATCAAAGATAATGTTGTACCTCATTAACTCAACAATATATGAATGTACAAACAATGTTTTGATTCACTGGATCTATCCCAGAAAAATCCAAAACTGAGTGTCTGTGCTTACCTGAACTTGAACAATATTCATAATACCAAAATCATTATGAAGAACCCATGTTTTTCAAGGTACAAAACATTTTTTCACATGTCAGCCTCAACCTCTTCCTGAACAAATTATACAATGTCATAAACTCATTATTGCTGTGTTAATATCCTAGAGCTGATAAGAACTCTCCCAGTATCTGAACAAGAATCTCTGACTGGACATAGAGAAAGGGGACCCCAAAAGCCATCAACTGGCACATAAAAAAGGAGTCCAAAGGGTTTTGAGCTATGTGTTGCCCAATTGAGGAAACTGCGCCTTGGAGGAGCTGGTTTGCCACCCTAATCCTGTCAAAGAGGCGGAGCGAGTACTGCATCCCCCTTCCAAACAAGGAAGCAGAGCTACCTGGGGTTCTCTCTGATGACGACGAGATGGAGTTTGCACGTCCTGCACCATCAGCCGCCATACTGTCTTGTTGGGTCCCTTTGTTGTCCTGTGGGAAAACATGTAAGAAAATATGTAACAGCATGCATTTCATCTAAGAAAAGGCAGTACTTGGTCACCAGCTACCTGTTCCTTCACAGAAAGCGAGAGACAGAGAGAGTATTCTTTTAGCTAGTTCATCAATCTAGTACTTTCAGTAGGACTTTGGGTATCACATACTCTATTTTTCCACATCACTGCTCTGAAGAACCTATTGTCATTCTGGAGCTCTAGCAACTACAACATTTGGCTAGAGAGCCTCCTCTATGTTTGAAATAACCTGCCGGGCTATGTGTCAGATTGAAACTAGTAGTGGAGAAAACCCTAGCCAAAAGCAAGGCGACCCTCTTTCTCTCCTCTCCCCTTTACAACTGGCCACTTTTAAGATCCGAACGGATCATCCACAGGGGGCATCTGCAATTAGGCCACAAGCGGCCCATCCCTGTTCTTTAGAGTGGGGAGCTGACATGTTACATCACTCCAGTCCCAAGCTTTCCTCGGTCTTAAAATAAAATCTCCCTGTATTTATTATGTATCAGTTTCAGCTAACTGGCAGCCATTTTGGATGCATATTTTTAGGCAGCTAGGCAGCATATAAATATTTAAGCAAAATAAATTATTTAAATACATGGCATGAAACCAAGCAGCAAGATACAGTACTGTGGGAACGCAAATGCATAAATCCTGTTACCTAAACACTTATAAAAGCCATGCAAGAAAATTATAGAAAACCAACTGCAAAACTGAAATAAATTATTGTTACTTTTCCAATTTAGATCTTGCCCTGTTCATCTCACTTTAAAAGGTATTTTTGAGGATAGAATCTTCTTTATGGTTGTGTTTTGATAATAAACTGCCACATTTGATTTAGAAATCATATTCTAAGCAGTCCTCTGATTAAAGAAAGTTCACTCCATAAATACTGTGAACAAGGAAATGGGGAAAGGGAATGCATTTTGAATTTGTAAACACTTCTGCTATGTGTTGGTTTCAGAGGTGTATGGCTTAATAAGCCTGACAAGAAAGCTTGTGATTTGTTAGGCTTATTAAGGAAGACTTCAGGAAGACTATGAATCTCCTGCGAGAATAACCCTCTTCTTCCAAACGTCTAAAAGCCACTTTCCAATATAAAATGCCATCACAGTGTTACTGAGTGAAAATAGAGAAACAACGTACCTTTCCTGATGGAGGACCCACTGCTGGTCTCTTCCTCTGGGCATAACCTGAAAGTCTGTAACAGTAGTGAGGCTTGCAATAGAATTTTCCTGCAAAGATAGCAAGGAAGAGGACAAAAATGAGGCTGATGGAAGCTGCAGTCCAGTTATATTATGCAGTTTGTACAGATTCCTTGCACTGTCTCTACCCTGCCACATTTAACATACATGGAAAAAATTGCAACTAAAAGTTTTAATTCAAGTTAATTTCTTCTTTTCCTGGAAATAACATGTTTACCATAGGGTGCCTTCATAGTCATTCAATTAATAGCCAATCAGCCACCAGAATGGCCCCGGGAAACTTGTGTGGTATCGTACATTAACAAAGCGGCACTGTGTAAGGAACAAAGGCAGCATCACATGAAAATCTGGCAGAAGTAGTGCTGGAAGAAGCAAGAACAAATTCGAAGAAGGAAGAGCTGGGCATTAACTCCATCCAGACCAATGTTTTGTAAGGGCATCTAGATATTTTTGCTGGCTGAGAAGCAGGGTAAAAATGCTTCCGATAAATAAATCAAGGTGGCATCAAACTTCAAGCCTTTAAAGGTATCTTGAATGTTTTCTTCCTTCACAAGAAGCCAGAGGAAATGAGGAACTAATTCAGAAGTCAGAGGTGTGGTCCTACATCTTCCAGTATGGTGTTGAAACTTCTCAACGATGTCATGTGAGAACCCTTTTTACAGGAAGGTTCGATTCCATAGCCTCAAATGGAAAAGAATAAATAATGGCTTTCCTAAATGGAACTGTACTTTTTTCATTTTAAGAATTTGTAATTCTTTACAGGTTGTTTGTGTGCCTCAAGAGAGTTGCTGCTTTGTATATGAATGATGAATTAGATTGAAATGCAACCATGCATACAATAAAGACACTGAACACAATATACTGTCTTTGAAATCAACTACTGTATTTACTTGATTCTAATGCTCACTTTCTTTTTTTTTACTAAATTAGTTGCCAATTCAACTAGCTTCAAATGATAGTTGTGATCAGAATACTTCTTGCACAAGAGTAATTTTGGATTGTCTGATGAACTAGGCTGAGCAATGAACTCACTGTATGAAGCACTTAATATACCTGTATTTACTAGAGTCTAATGTGCCATCAAATCTAATGCGCACCTCCATTTTCAAAACCCTGAAACCCCAAAAAGTATCGATCATATCATGCAAATCTAATGTGCATTCTAATTTTGGGAAGGTAATTTAGTCAAAAAAAAGGTGAGCATTAGAATCAAGTAAATACAGTAGTTTATTTCAAAGACAGTATATTTCTAATGATAAGCTAAATTTTAGTTCCTACATAGTAAAGGACAAATGTCACTTACCATCCACCAGATCATAGGCGTAAGATGATAGACGCAGGGTGGTGGCACAATATTCACATTTGAAACAGCTACGGTGGAAAAATTTGCCTTCAGCACTCAGCCTTTCCATCACATAGACACGTTTATGGCAGAAGAAACAGACATCACTGCCTCCCAGGTTTGGAGGGAATTCTTTTTTTAATGAACCCTAAAACAAAAAGAGTAAGGAAAGACCTGGACTCATCAGTTTGCTTTTGCTTCTATATTATATATATTATATCATTCTGGTACCATTTCACAGGTAAACAGAGGAAACTCTAAAGTAAAAATATCAAAAATGTCTTTATGGATAATTCAAAGAATATCACAAAGAGTATGTTCTATAGGTTGTACCGTCCAATCACCTGAAAAAAAAACACGTGATGGTCTATAGTGTACTAAATAATCTGTGAATAGTGCAAATGGTCCACAAAGCCTTGTCCACGCTCGGCGTTTTCCATCACTAAAGTAGGAATGGTGACTGATTACTTACCCTACAGGGTCATTGTTGTAAGACCCCCAAAAATACACTGAATAAGCAATCTTGTAAATGACACAAAATTTAGGAGAAAGGTAGGGTAGGGTATAAATTAATAAGTGCATCCCTCTGTTATCTAGGGGAGAAAATTACATTGAAGATAAGGCATGAACAGCAATGGTCAATGACATCTTCATACAAAGACTCCAAAGATGCAATCTAGCTCTGAGGAACCATGTCTTCCTCAACAAATCAACTGGAGGACTCACAAAGTCAGGTGAAAGCACAAGCAAGGAAATACTCATTTCCTCTAATAAGGCACTGACGAAACACTAGACTCAACAGTACAACAGGTCGAAGGAAGAGTCATCTAATTTCTAATCACAAAGACACAACACCTTCTGTACATTCTCTTACCAGTTCCTTCTTGTCTAGAAGGGTTTTAGGCTGGTCCTTCCTTTGAAGCTGATTGGCTATCTGCTCAGCCAATGAGCTCACGCCTCCTGTATACATCTTTATATATTTCTACCAGACGAAGGTAAAGGGATGGGGGTGTCAGATGAAGAAGGGGGAAATGAAGGAGAAGAGAAATAATATAAATGCATGATGAAAACTAAAGAAAAATGAGAAAAAGGTGCTGAAGGGGGTCAAACCATGCCAAGACAGCTGTCAATGCAAGCATGTGGAGCACAGCACCAGCATTATAATGTGATGTCAGCAATGACTGGTGTAGAAAGCATCTAATGTAGTCAATAAAAGTTCGCTACACAAAAACCTGGTCAGAGACACCTTTATCCTGCTAGAAAATTACACTGAGAAGTGGCCAAAAGATGAAAGGGCAAGCTATTTCAAAATCAAGCTCCTCAAAGAGCTTCCTTACTAGTAGCATTATATTCTTCCCGAAATCTATTTTTTGTCTCTCAACTGACAATTGACGATAGTCCTCTCATAAAGTCAGATCTTCTAAGAGAATTGTCAGCTCCTGATCTACATGGCATTAACAGCGCCACAATTTGAGCATATGTCTTTTCACCCAATTACTTAGATATTATAAACATTTATGACATCCAAAAACATAAATTGGAGAATACAACAGTTTGGATAAAGGAGTAAAGGATAGGGAAGGATTGCAGGAGGCATTTAATAGTTCTCAATTTATCAGTGTTTCCGCTATGTTTGGGAATAAATTCTCCTTCTCTGTAGGGTTATAAAATGCTAAAATATTTTCACTGCTTCAAGTGCTATTGAAGACAGAATATTATACGACACAAAAAGATAAATTGACAGCCTAAAGTTTAAGAAATGTCTTGGAGAGAAAGACCAAGTTATAGAACTTATGGTGGTCTATATACAGACCCATTCATATCCCCATCTAACGAGTTGCATTTTCTCAGTATAAATGTACAAGGAAGGGAAAGGCAGAAAGGGACCACATATCCTCATTGTAGGCTTGGAACAGAACTGCACTAGAAAACAGTTTGCTTATTTTCAAAAGGCCATTTCCTCCTTTTGCAAATGAATCTACTTCATGGAGAGAAGCATAGGGTAGATGAGCGAGGCCTTCCACCCATCTTCTGGCTGGAGACTGCAGAGACCTGAGAGAAGAGTGAAAACTCTACCAGTGGTAAAAAAATCCCAGGAACATAATGGCCTTGATAGATCAAAACGTCCTCTCTATAAATCTCTAGGTCCTTCAGAATAACTGGAGGATGTTGACCTCATGAATGATCGGGTCTGCAAAAGTCAAAACTACAAATATGAATGCACAACTGTACATCTTTTAGTAGTGTATTCTGTAATTTAATTATGTACTGGGTGAAGAAATGCTTTATTCCATTTATCCCAAATTGAGTGTTCATGTATTTCACTGTGTGACAGAATACTAGTATTATGCAAAGGGGAAGTCCCCAGGTCCCTACAGAACACCATATTTATTTTTACATACTCTATCATGCCCCTTCCACTTTGATATTTTTTTTCTTAACAACGTCCAAGCATTTTAGCCTTGTCTAGTATAGAAGGTCCCTTATTTTTATGACTATTTTTATTGCTTCCTCAGGTAGGATCCATTTGGATATGGGCTAACCATAACTACCTCCACTACTTCAAATGGAACTGCTGTAGATTTATGTAAAGACATTGTATTTTTTGATATTTTGCAATCCTTTTTTAACCATTGCAGAACTCAAATTTTATTTGAATTCTTTTTTCTTGGAGAGTTGATATCTCTCCCCTACCCTCCCTCAATGTGCATCTCTGGTAAAAATGAGCTTCTGTTTAAAATGAGCTACTGTATTTGACAGCAGGTCTTCTGTTGAGGAGGGAAGGCTTTGATTTGTCACTCCATCCTGTGACGCAGTGTGGACAATTAAGATTTGTGATAAGCGGGTCTTCATTTTCAGCTTCTTTTTGCAGACAAGTAAGGGCACTGCCAACTACTCTTTCTTCCCAAAGTGTTTCATCTATTAGTGATTTTCCACCTTGGGGAAAAGAAAGGAAGAAATGTCACAGGAGGGAGCTCTGCTTTCCCCTCCAAAATTCAGAGCCAGTCTGACAGCGTGAAGACTGCTATCTGCTAAAATATATGGGTCCTGGATTTTGATCAGAAGCTGCCATGTAAACAGCTAAGAAAGAGAGGAAAACTCAGCCATAAGCCAGAAATTATTTTAAAGCAATTAGTTACAGATATAGTGCCAAATCTCACAAAGGTAATTGCAATGTTTGGAAGTAATACTGTAACTGGTTTCCTATAAAATTAATCAAACAACTACTTTTTGGTTACTTGAAAAGAAAACCCTTATGAATGTTATAAGCTACTGGCCTGTGGTATAAACACACCAGTAACCATCCACTTCATAATTGCTTAAACCAAGGAGACTCTGGCGATACATGTTTTTATTGATATTGTTTTTACTTGGGTTTATATTTATATTAATGCTTTGATTGCATTTTATGGTTTTGGTGCTGACTGTAAACCGCCCTGAGTCGCCTGCGGGCTGAGAGGGGCGGTATATAAATATAGTAAATAAATAAATAAATAAATAAATAAAAACAATGCAATATATTCAAAGCACAGGGAAAGCCAGCAGTTGAACCCCATGATGTCGTACTTCCTGGTGACCATTTCAGCTGGTCACATACCAGTTTAAACTTTAACAGTTACTTCACCAAAGGAAAAAAAGTTAGTCCTCATTAAGTCTCCAAAATAATGTGGCTTAATTACACTTTCATGACTGGGGAAAGAATTAAGGCAAGAAGTTGTTTTTAACTAGAAAATTGCTTCAAAGCTTTAGTTAGAAATATGAATTTGATGAAAATAGCATCATTTGAAAGGATTTGCTGGGACAATGGGAAAATAGATATCTGCATGCTGTTTTCCCATCTTGGGAATTAGAAAACACAGTTTAACATAAATAAAAAAATTGCTTCTTATAGACCAAATTCCTTGTGGTCAGACTAAGGCAAGCTAAAAGCATCTCCTCCTTACTGCATTGCTCATCAAGGTAAGTATGACCATTTTTTTCAAAATTCAGTATAGGATGTACAAAGTAACATGGTGGTACATCATGGGAGTAAACAAGCATTTACTCCTTGCATAGACTGTTTATAAAAAAATTAAATTCTGCTAAGTGCACTAGATGACAGATAGACAAATCAGCAAATTTCAATAAGAAGAATCAAGAAGCGTTATTAGTGGTTGTCTTGACAGCCGGAAATAGCAACAGAAGACAACAGCAGAAATTAGACACTGTCATAGTTTGGTAACCGAGAGAATTCCATGAGCTCACTGACACACTCCTCTCTTAGGTGTTAATTCCAAACTAGCACATCACACTTGCCATTAATCAAACTTTGTTTTCAATGGATAACCTGAACCTAGGATTTGATTGAGATTTCAGTCTCTTGTCTGAAAACGAGCTACAGTCAGCAATATTTATGGTGGTACCAGTCCAGTGTTTTATTACACAAAAACAATGTCATTCCTGGGGAAGAACATCCAGTCAAGGGCATTCTCCTGAGCAGCATGGGAGAGGGAAAAATGGAGAAGTGCATCAAAGCATAATTTGCTGATGATGTTCCATGGTATGCCCAAAGAAGTGCACAGCAAAGGAGAGCATTACAGGCGAGTTATAGATGAGAGATCCCATGGTAGGTAATGTTTTGAGAGCTACTGCTCTCTTTCCAAACAAACGTAACCAGTCACCTTGAAATATACAGATGCACATCATATCCAATTCTAGAATGCTAGCAATAATCAAATCGCAGAGGCAGCCTAAGCTTTCTCATTTGTGGACGCAAATGCTAAGCTCAGCAACATCAAGGCAAAAACAACAAATAATGCCTGGGTTCGTCAATCTGCACATTCTAGAGTGGCAGGAGATGGAGTAGGCCAAGGTATGCAGCCAGGTGCAGCTTGAAGCCCCACACCATGCTACCTGTCTGAGGGAATCAGATGAAGGAGAAGAAGGGCGGCTGGAAGAGCGGTTGCTACAGGAGAGCTCCCAATGTTTAACCACAGATCGACGAGTCTCTGGCTACAAAATAAAGGTGAGAAAGTCAGACGATGGCATTTTTACAGGCCACACGGATGGGAGCCCTTGAAAATAGGAGAGACAGAGATCTCTTTCCTTGCAGGTAAAGTCGAACTATGGATTTGCTCTACTTGTTCTAATTACGCCAGCCTAATTTCAACTTGTCAGGCTTTTGGAGGAAAGTTGGAAAACTGAATCAAGGAGTTATTCCGTTGTGAAAGACCTTATCCCTTATCACGGAAAATTTAGAAATCAGTGTCTATCAAAATGAAAAGGCTTTATGGTGACTGAGCAGTGAAAGCTTCTAAACTGTATACTGAGAAGTGAAGAGAAGTACAAAAAACGAATCTGGAAACTTAAGAAGAATGGAATGGAACAATATCTTTTAGAAAATATGGTATTAAAAGCAACTTAGTCAGGAGACAATATATCTCAATGGAGATGAGTGAAAGATAATTTTCAAAAACTGCTGTGCGGCAATGGTTGGAGACTGTGAGGTTACCAAGTAAGATATGTCATTAAATCCTATTTGGTCATATATAAGAGCCTCTTCAACAAGTCTGGATATTTTTGGTGTTTGAGCCAACATACAGAAATATAATGTTTGCACAATGGTTCCCAGTGCAATAACGAACAATGCAAATGAATATTGGAATGGCTCCTGGTATATGCTTTTGGACTATGTGATTTAATGTATTGTTGAAGGCTTTCATGGCTGGAATTACTGGGTTGTTGTAGGTTTTTTGGGCTGTATGGCCATGTTCTAGAAGCATTCTCTCCTGACGTTTCACCTGCATCTATGGCATGCATCTCAGAGGTTGTGACTCACAACCTTTGAGGATGCTTGCTGTTGATGCAGGCAAAAGGTCAGGAGAGAATGCTTCTAGACCCAGGGCATATAGCCTGAAAAACCTACAACAACCCTATGTGATTTTAAGTAATTATTTTAAGTGATATGCTTTAATTATGTGATTTTAAAGTATATGTTGTTTTATTTTTTTATATATTCAAGGCATTAAATAGTGCCTTTGCTGTGAGTTCCCTTCAAGGTGAGAATATAAATGTGGTAAATAAATTGATTAATTAATAAGCTGAAAGATTTAGGTGACCCAAAAAACATATTCTGATTCACATCTGAGGCCACGGAGTTGACACAACTGACACACCGGGTGAATAAAGTAGAGCACATACCAAGAAGACGTGTGTTTCTTTACTTTCTTTAAAGAAAGTTTTCCAAGACCATATGGTAGTTTGGATTTATAGACTGTTGTGGGTCAGGTTACTTCCTGGTTCCTTTGTTTTGGATTAAGCTAATTTTATAGAACCTTGCTTCCAAACCCTGTTAAGTATTACAGACACTGTTCCTTTCCAAACTGGCAGAGTAATGCTTCACAAACTTTTTTTGCATCTGTCTTAAGACTTGGGGAGACTCTACCCTAATGCATGGAAGTACAAACTCTACTCTTGGTCAAAAGCCCATTTAGGTTTTAGCAACTTCCTTCTCGCAGAAGCCACACACTTCTTTTATTAGTGCTACAAAGATCTATTCAAGAACAGACAGTAATACTGAGTCAGCGAAATAGAAGCATTTGTTAGTAAGTAAAAAAGGAAAGTAGAATAATGTGAGCTTTTTGTACGTGGGGGTTTGTGTGTGGTGTGAGTGGCTAAAGGCGTTATCTCACAACGTAGCAGTGTACTTATCAACCATTAACAAACAGCCAGCCATATTACGGCTCAAGCGGACTTTTCCCGTTCTAAGGAACTGCAAGCAGACATAAAGTGCCAAACAGACAGGAAGGCAGTCACCTGATGCCTGGTTGTTGGCCTTTGCTCCAGGAGGGCAGCCAGCTGGCTTGCCCTCTGTTCAATGGTAAGCGTGCGCTCTGGCACATGGTCATCTGAAGAGAACTGATGAGGTCTCTGAAGAATAACAGAGGAAAATGAACAAAGGAACACCAGAAAGAATATTCATGGGAAAAGGATAACAATACGCACAGGAGCAGAGATGAAAATAAGGTCAGTGAAATACCAAATAATTCAGTATCTACACGTGTTTTTAAAAAGCAGCAACAGCACCAGTGGAAAACAAGAGCTCATGAAATGTTTTAGATAAGGGTAAAGTCCTACGTAATGCACAAATAGTAGCCAAATCTTACTCAGGTTTTGTCTAGGAGCTTAAAGCTTGCACAGCATTGTGCCTTTAGAAATTTGTTGATTAAGCGCCCTACGGTAGTAGAATAACTACGATTGTGCTTAAATGCCCTCAATATAACACCGCGGACTAGTTGGTCCAAAAAGCAGCTGCGCCATAAAGCAGGGAGAGCCAAGGCCAAGCAGTGAGCGAGACGCAACACTCGTGGGAGAAAGTGAAATTTTTAAATGTTTCTATTTCCTTTCCTTCCCCACAATTTGATTACTTTGGAGACTGGATGAAATGCTGACGCGGTGGGCATGTGAGGGAAGTCCGAAAAGCCAGCAAAGAAAGCAATGATAAGCACGATTTTATGGCCTGTCCCCAAAGAAAAGCCGTTTCTCTTCTGCCGAAAAATCAGTGCTGAGTTGTGCCAAACAGGGAAGCCACACTTACATATTGTCTAAAGTGGACAAAAGCTGGTACTTCTGTGAATGCCAAACTACATACACACTATGTTTAGAAATATTCTTCAGCGGCACTGCACTAGATTAATAATAGTCTCAACAGAAAGGATAATCCCTTTCCCTCTTGCTACTCCCAATCTGCATTGCACTCCAAGATTTCACACACCCTCCTCATGCGCTTGTGTTCATGCTGTTTTACCCTTTGCTGGCTGGGACTCTGTTCTCCAGTTTGGTCTGCATGACGTTCCCTGTTTCTCTGCAGGCAAAATAATTAGCTTAACAAACTCCAGATGCATAGTCTGGAAAGGTTTTGAGATTTGGCAGCCTTCATTTGGATACAATGCAGAATGTATTTATTCAGTTTTAATCAGAGCAATTAAAAATACACTTCATACAAATTGTATTAGTAAATGGTGAAACAACTGCACACACCCACAAAGTGATAAAAGATTCAGAAAGAAGGGATAGTTTACAAGGAATAGCCAACATTAGTGCAATCAAATGTGCCCAGGAAGTATATTTCAAGTATGGCCACTTAACTGTAGATCTAGTAGGTTAACTCAGTCTCTAGACTTCAAATAAAAACTGATTTTGAAAAAAAATGGGTAAGAGCAAGGCAGAAATATTCTAGGTAAATTAATCCCACAGTGGCATTCTAACATAATATGTCCCATCATGTTCTTCAAGATTATGGGTGCCCCAAAAAAGAAGACACCCTATAAACAAACCCAACATGTCATGAAAACAGACTGATGGAGAGACATATTCGTTTCCTGAAAATGTAGCAAAGGTAACTTACTATAAGGCATTATGGTCTGCATAATTTATGGCCTGATTAAATAGGAGTCTAGTGTCTCAATCCAGGGAAGTCATGCTACCCCTCTATTCTGCCTTGGTCAGACCACATCTGGAATCCTGTGTCCAATTCTGGGCACCACAACTGAAGGGAAATGTTGACCAGCAGGAATGTGTCCAGAGGAGGGTGACTGAAATGATCAAGGGTCTGGAGAACAAGTCCTATGAGCTTAAAGAGCTGGGCATATTTAGCCTGCAGAAGAGAAGGCTGAGAGGAGACACGATAGCCATGTATAAATATGTGAGGGAAAGCCATAGGGAGGAGAGAGCAAGTTTGTTTTCAGCTTCCCTGGAAACTAGGATGCGGAACAATGGCTTCAAATTACAGGAAAGGGGATGCCAACTGAACATGAGGAAGAACTTCCTAACTGTGAGAGCTGATTAGCAGTGAAACTCTCTCTCTGCCCTGGAGTGTAGTGGAGGCTCCTTCTTTGGAGGCTTTTAAACAGAGGTTGGATGGCCATCTGTCAGGGGTGCTTTGAATGTGATTTTCCTGCTTCTTGGCAAAGAGTTGGATTGGATGGCCCACGATGTCTCTTCCAACTCTATGATACTACTATGTTTTGACATACCTATGCTATCACTTTTGAAAGACTATTATTATCATCTGAAAGTATTCATTGAATTAATAAATACAGCTAATATATATAAAATGTAAAATGAAATTGTTCTTTGTGAAAATAGAATTTACAAGCCCTGGTGACATGTTTCCTATCAGGAAGTTATCTCCTCCTGAGGACCAAACTAAGGTTATGATCAGTGTCCCAGATATTCAGATGTGATGAGAACACTTTTACACCATCATGAAACTGCATATTAAATATACCCAAAGTCCCAAATATATATGGCAAACTAATGTAACTAGGATTTTGATTTGAAAACCGAAATTACTCAACAAGACATTATTTCAGAAGAATGTTTTAAGAACTTGAGTTGGGGAACAAGATCAGAAAAGATGTTAAGGGCCCAAAGTTACATCATTTGGTGGAATCCAGGCCTTCTGAATTATTGCCCTACTTGTTAGTTATGTGGTAGTCAATTGGTAGAAGTATGTGGGAACAGGAGTAGCATAGCACACGAGAGAAAGAGAAAACTGAAGTAGATTGGAACCAGCAGAACCCTAAATCCTTTGCTCGGCTATTTTGAGGCTACTGTTTATTACCTGTACGGCAAGGCTGCATACTCTCACCCAACCTTTTTAACTTGTATGCAGAACACATCATGCGATGTGCGGGGCTGGATGAATGCAAAGCCAGGGTGAAAATTGCTGGAAGAAACATTAACAACCTCAGATATGCAGATGACACCACTCTGATGGCCGAAAGCGAGGAGGAGCTGAGGAGCCTTCTAATCAAGGTGAAAGAAGAAAGCGCAAAAGCTGGGTTGCAGCTAAACGTCACCTGTGGAACTCACTCCCCGGGGAGATCAGATCGACGACTTCCCTTCTAGCGTTTAGGAAAAAACTAAAGACCTGGATGTGGGACCAAGCTTTTGGCCATGCTGACAACTGATTAAAGGACCTATCGATAGACAAGGACAATGGAATGGAATGGATATATGGACTCTGATATATGGACTCTGACATGAGATAGTTTTTATGATTTTAATAGGTATTGATGTTTCATTTTAATTGTTGAACTGTTATATTTTGTATTGTTTGTTGTGTGATTTGGGCATCTAATTGTGCCTCCTTTGTAAGCCGCCCTGAGTCCCCCCCGGGGTGAGAAGGGCGGGGTATAAGTAGATGAAATAAATAAATAAATAAAATAAAAAATAAAAAACCAAGATTATGGCAACAAGAATGATTGACAACTGGAAAATAGAGGGAGAAAATGTGGAGGCCGTGACAGACTTTGTATTTCTAGGCGCAAAGATTACTGCAGATGCAGACTGTGGCCAGGAAATCAGAAGACACTTCCTTCTTGGGAGGAGAGCAATGTCCAGTCTCGATAAAATAGTAAAGAGTAGAGACATCACACTGGCAACAAAGATCCGCCTAGTCAAAGCCATGGTACTTCATTACCTTTTGCAAAACTGTGGAAAACCAAACTATAGGCTACTATAAAGAGTCCAAACAAAAACAGAGGTAATTTATTCTGGGTCCAGATATACTAGAAATTGTTCCTGTTAAAGCATGCAATATAATATCTGAGTAATGCCAACAGTAGTCTTTCTCCACTGAAAAACCTACTATGTATAGTGAAGGAAGTTCTAAATATCTACATTACATAAGGAATAGCAAAACGAAATCAATTTTGTTGCATTACTGAGGGGTTTTAGCGTGGGAGTGGGTTAGGAGGAGTGGGATGGGAATTCCAGGTGCCTGCTGTTTTTATTGACCTTAAGGATGATATTCAGAACATCTGGGCATGTAGTGAAGGCAGGGAGCAGGGAGAAAGAGAAGGAGAGGGACGGACAGAGCATGCAGAATTAATTCACCTGATAACTGGGATACCATGGAGAGGAAGTGCAAATGGAGGAGGAAGTGAGCATGATCACTTTTTTAGGGCAGGTCCGAGAACGCTCCTTTTTCCTCATCTTTGTTTCAAAACAAAACAAAATAAAGCAAGAATGGAACGAGAAGAGTCATGATAACTGATTGTGGTATCAGCTATGGCAAAGTTATAGACTAAAGACTAAGGATGGGGAAGACCTACCCACACCCCTGGTGTTTGAGATTTTGATTCTCAGGAACCTCAAACAATTAAGGGGTCATGGGACTCTTAAGTCAAAAAAAATTGGAAAGCCAAAGGTTCCCTCTACTCCCGAGTTACTCAAATAGCACGTGAACCAGTACAAAAATTCCTGAATTACACTGATTCAGGCAACAGATTTGGAACCACACATTTGTACGGTCCCCAATTCCAGAAGGAAATAATTTTTCATTCAAGTACAGTATATAGCTGTTTTTGTCTAAAACTCTACATCCTGGAGAAAAAAAATTATATCTCCTTCACTGTTTATGGGTACAAAGTCTCAAAAATGCATAATCTGAATGATGCTGGTCCTGCTTCTTATAGGTATTGCTCCAAATCTATTGAATGGCGTCATATTCTTACAATATGATAATTCATTTATCTAAATGGCTCATTGAAAATATGTCTACATATTTCTTATTTAGAACAAGGAAGATTTCTGAGCATCAAGGATTTTGCTAACACTGGAGATATTTGAAAAATATGGGATTCACATACAATAAGCTGTCTTGTATGATCTCACATGCTTATTGTATGTGAATCCCATATTTTTCAAATTCAGTTAGTAAAATCCTTGTTGCTCAGAAGCATTTTCTTTTCCTATATTATGCAATGTTTAGCAACAATCAGGCAACTATTTGTTACAGCTTATCTTTAAAAATAACCTGCTCCTTCCAAACGCAAATCAATAATAGCAACAATCATAACACATAAAGTCCTACTCAAGATTATTTACTGTTCACTAAATGTTGGTGGCTGACCATTAACAGAATAGATAAGCCATACCCATTTGGTACTAAATTTGTCAAGGATATGTTGTGCATTTGTGTTTTCTCTCTCTCTCCCTCTCTTTCTTCCCAACCCAATAATAGGATCAAGATTAGACCAGACCAAAAGGCCATCTAATGGTCTTTATTCTTTTCTCACAATTTACTTCTTGAGAACTTCCATGATGGTAACCATGAACTTCTTTTATGTCACTCACAGCCCCTGGAGTTCAGTTGCGTGTCTCTCTTGCTCTCAGGGGTATTATAAACTATTCTGACCAGTGGCTGTTGACCTATCAGAATTTGACTAACACATCTTAAAAGCCACCTGAGCACATTGGCACTTGTACAATCTATGGCATCATTTAGATATGTGCTGCCAACCACTGCTCTCTGCAGCTTTTCATTTTTCTACTCTGGGTTGTTTATCTTGCCATTTTTGGCCCTGAGTTTCTCCTTTGTTTACCTTGATTAAAGCTGAACTCTAAGCACCTGAACTATATGGTCCAAGAAGAGTAATTCTATACATTTTCCTTGGTGGAGAGAATACATCTTCCTACATTTAGAGGAGTCCACAGGACAAACCCTTGCCTGCTGATTCTCATCAATTTTAGACCAAGCCTGGCCCTTTTCCTATAGGTGAGTGGTGGGTGTGGTGGAGGACTTTGAACACTAATATGAACACTGTCACAAATTCCCAAACAGGATACATTTCTGTGTTCACCCAAAGCCAGAAAGATGCTCTTATCAACAGTTTAAATTGAAGGGAGATTCACATGAAAGGACACGAGGTGACCAGTGTACTCTTCTTCCATCCTGAAAGTTGTTTCCAGTTATCCCAGTTGAAAGATAGATTTGGCAATCATGAAATTCCAAGGACAAGTGCCTTGCTCATGTACTCCCCTCTAAACAGGAAAAGTTACTCTTTAAACCATAATTCCCAGAATCTGATAGACAGCATAACTGGCATAACGAGTAACTCATCAAAGCAAAGTACCAGACCGAATAGACTTCTTTACTATATTTACAACACATTTTGACTCATCCACTTATGACTTCAAACATGCAATTTCTGGTTTCATAGCCACCCTTCCCACATCATGCCCCTCTCTCACATACACAACACAAGTGTGCATGCATGCACGCACAGACAGACTCAAGTGTTATTATTAGTATGCAAATGAAGTATGAAATCTTGTTAGTTTGTTGGAACGACCTTTCTTCACCTAAGATTTCCCTCCCCTTTCCTTTCAGAGCAGGACAGCCGTTTCCCGTCTTTTAAATGATACTTTCAAAGGGAAACAACCCCAAAGTCCTCAAAGTAGTGCCCATCAGAGCAAAATATACATATTATATGGTAATGCCCAGAATCCACAAATATTTTATTCATAGCTCTATGAGATCATATAAACACAAGGAATTGACCCCAGCATGGGTATGAAAATATAGGACCTTGTGTCATATTATAACATGGCCCAGTGTATTATAACATGGTCCAATGTGCCTGCATGTTGGTACTGAAGGAATAATTGTGAAGGCATTGCTACACTGTATAAATTTTGCTTTCCATACATTTATGCATCACTGCATAATACAAGGATCATACTGAAATCAATGTTGATATGCCATTTACTCTGAAATAAATATGTTATTATATCACCAGATAGAGTAGTTCTCAATGCATGACTGGCATGTTTTTGGTATTACTAGGTGTTGCATAATTCACAGATATGAAGTTGAAACAAAGAGCAGTCTTCGAGTTCTTGACTAAAGAAGGATGTGCTGCTGGTGATATCAACAGAGGGATCCGAAATGTGTATGTTGAGGCAACAAATGATGAGAATAAAGTGCAAAGATTGGTGAAAAATGTCAGAACCAATACTGAAGAAAACCATAAAGTGGAAGATCATCAATACAGTCACCAATGCCAACCAAAACAGAGTGGAGAACATGATTAACACATGTAACAATCTGAATTTCAACCATAAATACAGGAAAGTGTGTACCAAGAGTGTTCCCCATCAATTAACAACTGGTTTGTAAGAGAATAGACTGCACATTTATTTGGAATTACTGGTAGCACATGAAGTCCATGAGAATACAAAACATTTGCACTGGTGATAAGATGTGAGCATATCTGTATGAAACAGAGACCACTGGTGGAGAATATTTTGAATAGTCCCATGATGCATACAAAAAGAGAAATCTCACCACAGTGACAAGAAAATTAGAACAATTAGAACTGGTAAAGAGATAGTGAATGCTTTGAATTACATTTCTCAAAGCAAAGAGAGGTATAATGCAACCTGATTAAGAAAAAAAAATCCAATATATCCAGAAAAAGAAGAAGAGAGGGAGAAAGGCTGAGGTCCTCATATAAAAAAGATGTAAAGTTCAAAGGTAAACTAGAAAGCAAAATATTGCCTAGCTATGCACTCCTCTCAAATATTTAATTGAGCTAACATACTGGTCAAGTAAACTGCTAAAGAATTTTGATACACACACATATACATGAGATGAATAATTTACTGCTCATGGTTGACAATTTTAAGAACAAAGGGTCATTTCAATGGAACTCCTACTTGCGGCCATGTTTTCTTGAGAAAGTAAGTCAGAAATTATATTTTCACATGTTTGGAACCTGTTAAGTCAAAGAAACAGGGAAAAAACCTGCATCTGAATTATCAGATGTGAATCACCAAAGAATAGGATAATGCTTAAGGAAATTATGAAAACCTCTTGCTGTAAGCAAAAAGGACCCAGAAATGTATTGTAGAAACAATCAGAAGCTATATTATTAATACTTACTAATCATATTAGTAAGTAAAAATGAAATATATCAAGACCAGAGAGTAGCAGAGGAGTTTTTCCTATCATGAAAATTCTTGGTAACAGCCCTCTTCTTCTAAAGGTGTTAATAAATAAAAATGAGGATTTCTGTAGATCTAGTTGGTAAGTGAAGCTTGATCATTAAGAAAGAGGAGCCCTGACTGTAGGAAAGGATGAGAACGTAAACAATCCCTTGCAAGGACAATTACTCCTTTGTCTTGGAAAATCAGGCAAGGAAAATGTGATTAAGACCTAAACTTCACTCAGAATCAGGAAACACCTCTTGATCATCAACTTATTTTGGAAATTGCATTCCTTCCCACCTGTTCTTGGAGTGATTTCTCAATCAGATCCCAAAGCAATTCAGCACACCTATCATACCTTTCAAGAGACACCAGAATATAAGTTGAAGAAAATGATCAAGAGGCATAAAATATTGACAAACTCATGTCCCAAAGTTATATGAATTAGTCTTAGGGCTGCAATAAAGTCCATCCACTATTTTCCTACTTCCATTGGACTTCGGAAGACATACGTAACTTTGACATGATAGGGATGGAGACATATGCTATGTATCCAACAGTTGCCACTCAAATTAAAAAAGATCTTGATGACTAGCCTCTGCAAACGGATGAACTTTATAATGATATGTCTAAAGCATAAATGTACAGATGCCAAATTAGCTCAACTAGTTGTCTGACAGACTGGTGACCTTAACTCATTTTCAAAAATGCTTCCACTTCTTAGGCAGATGTAAAGTGGTGAAAAAACATCAGTTGCAATGTTACTATCACCCTTTTCCCATTTACAAGTTACTTTTAATCTTGTATATGTGAGCACTACACAAAGTAGTATTTATGGATGAGTAATCACTATCATGGTTGCCATTATTTGATTAGTACTGAGCATATAGATTGTAGGAATCTATATATACAACGTTGAAAACGATGCTAGTACAGAAACCACAAGACAGTGCAGAAGAGGATAAAACATGGTTTCTAATTATAGGCAAATTCACATATTTTTAAAAAGACCATACAACCATTATATATATTTTTAGAGATTGCTAAGGTCGAGTAAATTGTTTCGGAGAATGGAACTGGAGTAAAGGTGAAAAAAGTTTAAAATCAAATATAGCAATAGCAAAAGATTGTACCAGTGCTAAAGAAACAGTTCACAGTTCTATGTACCTATGGCAGAACATATTAATTGGTACTCAGTGACTTCATGTTCTGAACCTTGAAAAATCACCAGCTCTGCTCAAGACATTACAAGATTTAGGTATGTTTCATTGTATGTGTTTATGGCTTTAATACATAGTAAGGGGGCTGGTTTTCTAGTGATTTGGATCTCCTCTATGAAAACTTCTCATTGATACTGAAATCTATTAGTGTCATTAACTGATTCCTATGAACCAACTAGGACATTAAGATCATCTGGGAGGCCCTGCTCTCGGTCCTGCCTGCATCAGAGGCGTGCCTGGTGGGGACGAGAGACAGGGCCTTCTCAGTGGTGGCCCCTCGGCTGTGGAACGCCCTTCCTACAGATATCAAATCGGCCCCCTCCCTGTTGGCATTTCGGAGGAAAGTTAAGACCTGGCTGTTTGAACAAGCATTCGATTAAGCAGTGTAATTTAATATAGGAATACAGAATAATGGATGATGAGATTGGATTCTGATTTTACTGATGAGACGCTAATGATTGTTATATCGATGTTTAATTGTTGATGATGCTACTGTTTAATTGTTGATGATGCTAATGAATGTTTAATTGTTGATGAAGCTAATGATTGTTATATTGATGTTTAATTGTTGATGATGCTACTGTTTTTAACTGTCCCATTTTCAGTTGTGATTCCATGTGATGTTTTTGCATTGAATTTTGCTGTTGTTAACCGCTTTGAGTCGCCTGAGGGCTGAGAAAAGCGGTATATAAATTAAGTAAGTAAGTAAGTAAGTAAGTAAGTAAATAAATTCCATTATTCTCATCCAAAAATGAAAAATTTGCTCGCACAAACTAAAAGACAAGGAATACTGATAAATACCCTTCAAAACAGTGATGCAATGATTGGAAAAGACAATGCGAATAAGATGGATTTGAAAGTACAATCAATGTTCAAAAGAAATGGTAAAAGATGCAGTTTGACCCCCATATCCATGGGGCCAGTATCCAAGGTTTCATTTATTCACTTCTGACAAAATATGGCATCTCCAGTCATTTTCCAGATCCTCCATTGAGACTCTATAGTGTTCTTTGGTCAGAGGTTCTTCATTTCAATAGGGTTCACTATTATCCATGGTTTTGCATATCCATGTGAAGTCCAAGAACGTATCCCCCCCCCCCCCCACGGACACTACTGATAAAAGCTATATCTACTTCATAAAAGAGATCTCTATCACACTCATAGACAGGAATAGTGGTGGTGGTTTGATATGAAGAAGCAACAGCCAAGGGGCGGGGGGTGCGAATTCGGGTGGGGTGAGCATCACAGTCATTCACTCTGTTCCGTTTTACCTGTTTCCACTGAGGTAAGGGGGCAAGGCGGGCCTGTTCTCTCTGTCGGTAGGCTGGCTGGCTGAGAGCCCGTTCTTGATAAGGCTGGACAGACCGTTGCATGCAGGTCATAGAGTAAGCAGGATGGAGGCCACGGAGGGCAGTAACATAAAAGGTAAAACAAAACTCACAAAGAAACCCACAAGGGGATGGGGAAGATGTTGGGCAGGGTGGTCAATGGACAGACATTGAGGAGGGGGATACGGAGTAAGGAAAAATTAGTTGACAAATAAAATATAAAATTCATGAAAAGGGGGAGGGATAAATTAAAAAAATGGAAAATGAAGATGCAGCTTGCCATGAAAAAGGCCATTATCAACTATGGCATTAGCTGAGGGTTTTAAATAAGCTTAAGTTGGAAATGAAAGTCATTTCCAACTACTAAAGGCATTGCATTCCCAAAACTCATTTCAGAACAATATGGGAGCAAAAAAAGTTCCTCAACTGAGATGGCTATCAAACCAGAATCCTACACAGTATTGGCTTCAGAAATTATTTTTTCAATGTTGGGGTTTGTGGTGGCCTCTGTCCTTTATTCCTTTATCACTAAAGATGAATGAAACTGGACAGGGATAAAGAACCTGTACTAGGAGGATAAAGAAATTTTATGTGAGAACTTCTTGGCTTCTGTTAGACCTTCATGCCCAGCCTCTCAGGAAGAATAAGGCTTTTCTGAGGATTGCTTCGATACATTAGCATTGCTTTTGTTGTAATTCAGTCAATGATTGTGCCTAACGTCAATGAGGAAGTGGTACATGGGATTTCGGGCCTGCTGAGCCTGCGAGCCAGCGTGAGATTTTAAGTCCTGAAACTAAACGTTCTGTGTCTCCTGCAGTTAGTGAAGGTGAAGGCCACATTCCAGAGAAGGGCCTTTTCTCTAGGGAAGCAGGTTCAGAAGATGAACTGCCAGGTAGAGAGGTTAATGAGCTCTTACATAGGAGGCTCAGCTGACTTTCAGAGTCCACAAAGTTCACAGCGATTGTTAGAGAAAAAAATCGTTATCAGTTTCCCAGGGTAAACGCCATGATTTCATGGCTTTATTAGAGAGACTAAAGGGATTTTTCAGCATTCTGGTCAACATTGGACTTTGAAGCTACATCTCTAGTCTAGTCCTAATCAAGCCTGCTAATGGAATTCAAGTTTCATGTTTCCAGTTGTTGATGTTCCAAGTTTTAAGGATTTGCATTCTGTGTATTGGATTTTATACTGCCTTGTGTATCCTGATTCTTTGCATTCCTAGTTTTTCATGCAACTCTTGTACCTTGAATCTTATGGAGTACTTTATACATCTGGATTTGGGGTTTTGTTTTTGTTTTTTTACTATTTTTGCTGAACTGCTTTTAAAATATTCTTCAATAAACTGCTTTGCTGATTTACACTGGTTTGTGGTGTGGTAGTTACGTACAGAGGTGCTCCTGCCCTGGAATACAACAGCTTTGGAACATGTAGCAAGTCTAGCGTGGGAAAAGTTGTTTTTTTTTTACACTGCTACTTCCGGGCTGGGTGCTTCTGACAGAAAAGGAACTGATTCAAGCTGTGACACTGCATGAGTCACATGGATTGGCTTGATCCATTTACTCCTTTCTCCAAAGGCCTTGGTATCATTGCTTCACCTGCAACTCACTGTTTGCTGCTCATGATAAAACGGTTTGTGTGCATAATGACGGGAAAATGTATCTGTATTCTAGACAGCAAGCTAAACTATCTGGACGTCTCAGCGATGATAGCTTTGGATACCAAGTAAAAAAGCTGTCTATATATGGAGTAATGCACAGGAAAACCTATGGAAAGTCTTTCCCCATATGTTCAACAGATAGCAGTCTACCAAGATGTATAGGCTAATGGGAAGGGGCAGATGGGGGATGCCAACATTATCAAGAAGCTAATTGCTGTCCGACGGACATGGAGAGATTGATCAGGCCTCTGCCATTTGTAGGACCTGCTTAAGGAATGAGCAACATTCTTGCAGTTCTTTGTGCTCCAAGAATGCTTTCTCCAAAAAGCCCACAAGTGTCTGAAAATGGAGGATCCTCACCACTTAACCTATGACAGGCATGTTCTGTACTGGAAACCAGAGATACCTTGTTTCTGTTGTGGTCAAAGTCTAATTCTTTTAATATCATCTCCGACCCCTCTCCCGCCAATAAATACAACATCTAAAGCCCTCTTGTACCTGTCTTCGTATTCCAGAGGACTGTACAGGGGCATTCTCCTCAAATTTGGCCAGCAGTTGCGTTGCCATGGATTTCACTTTATTCTGATTACCAACGGCAGCATCAATTCTTCTCTCTGTCAGGGCGCTGACCAGGGTGGGCCTCTCCTCTCGGTAGCTTCGGGAAGTGTCCTCCTGGAAAACCAGAGAATAATTTAATAACCTGTACAAAATCCATTCCCTTCACATAGAAAACTAGCACAGCAAAGAAGAGATTAGAAAATATCTCTCTTCCTGGCATTTGTTATTAATCTGACGGTTACTAACAAATATTAACCTTTCATTTGTTTCTGTGTTTGCTGTATAGATGACCATTCAATTGGGTGTGTGAACTTACAGTCTGAATTGCCACTTTATTCCAACCACATTTTTCTCCTCTTAGGTAAGTGTCTGTGAAACATAGTCCTGGCAATTAGTTTATGCACCTTTCAAATATTTGTGGTTGAGCACCTTTCAAACGTTTGTGGATGTATGCTGTTTCAGGCTGTCTTACAACTGGGTTGTTGTAAGCTTTTTGGGCTATATGGCCATGTTCTAGAAGCATTCTCTCCTGATGTTTCGCCTGCAAGCATCCTCAGAGGTTGTGAGTGAAAATGCAGGTGAAACGTCAGGAGAGAATGCTTCTAGTGGCCATATAGCCCGAAAAACCTACAACAAGCCAGTGATTCCAGTCATGAAAGCCTTTGACAATGTCTTACAACTTCTTTAGATATAGAATTCCACCAGGGATTGGAGAATGGCTAATTGATATTTCCATCAGGTTGCAGAGGCAAGAGAAATTACTTAATTAAGTAGGTGATATGAAATTTTGTCTTAACAGCTTTAATGGGAAAGATTCTGGCATGAACACACAGATTATTGGAGAAAGACCATTAGAAATACTGTTACTTACATCTTCCGACTGGCTTGTTTTTCTCCTCTTTCCTGCACCATCTAGATCTTTCTCCTTTTTATCCTAAACACAAAAAGAAGAAAAGCTCGTGCTGATCATCACTTTTTTTTGCAGGGTTATAGGAGCTTAATCAGGCCCTATCCCATTGATCCACACTGCCAAACCTGCCAACTGTGGCCCTCCCTTCCAGAGCTGTAAAAACAATTCTCGGCCCAGTATGAAAAACCAGATTTAACTGCTACATGTCAGGATACACTCTATGGACCTTTATATTATCACCATTTCATACAAGTTATCCAAAGTCCACTAGGAGATCCCTGTGTTCTCCTTGTTTTCTTCAGAATTGTATAATTATGAGTTCATGAGTACATTTCCTGCAAACTCTCTTCCAAGGCAACCATAACTTACCTTCGGTGTCCGTTTTCGAGAGATGCTCTGGCCCAATTTGCTGAAAAATGAGATCGGGGACTTGGTGCTAGCTATTAAAGCAGCTTTTTCTTCTGCATTCAGCTCCAGATTGTCTGTGAACAAAAACACAGTAAAACTGAGTCTCCTAAAAAGAGCATCCTATAAAGTCCAAATTCTAAGAATCTTTACTATTACTTTATTCCTTCCTTACCCTCTGCCTCTATGCTTTCATCTGACTACAGTTTCTGCCACAAAATGTACCACTTAACCCTCCATTTAATCATGTTTACATTCTAGAAAATTCAGGATCAATCAGCCATATTTGACTACTCTCCTTATCAAGTCAATCCATCGAAGTAAGCTGGCAGAAAATAATGAAAACACAGAGACTATTCAATAAGCTGCATACTCAGCACTTGTGTTCACTGTTTCTGGCCAAAAGCATTTATCATTATTGTTGAGGAACCTTAAGTACAGTAAGACCCTATAACCATGGAACCAACACGGTTTCAATTAATCACAACCACAGGAACCCCCAGTGGCGCAACGGATTAAACCCTTGTGCAAGCAGGACTGAAGACCGACAGGTTGCAGGTTCGAATACGAGGAGAGTGCAGATGAGCTCCCTCTGTCAGCTCCGACTCCCCATGCAGGGGCATGAGAGAAGCCTCCCACAAGGATTGTAAAACATCAAAACAACTGGACGTGCCTTGGGCAACGTCTTTGCAGACAGCCAATTCTCTCACACCAGTAGCGACTTGCAGTTTCTCAAGTCGCTCCTGACAGGAGAAAAAAAACCTACAGAAAAATTGTCTCTTTAGGAATCTTCGAAGTTTCCCAGGTGTGCTTTTTCTTGAAATTACCACAGGGTTGTCTTGGAGGACCTAGCAAATTACTAAAGATGACACCTCTCTAAGAACCCCTAGGTCCCTGAAGATGACTTTATGGTATCCTGGGACAGGAAGTCACATAAATTCAGTCCATCCAAGAACCTCCCTTCCAGATATTACTTTTAACTTCTGCTTACTAATTTAAATGGTCGTCTAAATCACCTGCTCTCAAAGGAACATCACTATTTTCATTCCAACTTCTTAAACATTAAGAGTTCCTCTAAGATTAAGACTTCAACATACTAATATCGCTCCATTGACAATTTTTAGCAGTTTGTGTGCTAGGCCACTTGTCACTTACCACTGGAAGAGAGGGAGTCCTTGAACATTTCATAGAATTGGGTGAGATACATGACCATGGACAACTTGTCTGGCTCCCCAACTGATGCCATCTCTTTGCCAGTCATGATCGGAGAGATTCCAAACTCCTTTTCAGCAATATCAAATGCCAGCTGATTATTCTTCTCCACGTTGTGTTCGTCTAGAGAATCAAAGTCTCTAGAATACAGAAAATATATTGTGACAGGGTTTAGTTGGGAAAACTCAACAATCCTGGCTCTAATCCTAACTCACAATGCGAGCCTTAGACTTTTCCTCATGATATCCCCTTCCAGCAATTTGGACAATCATGCATGTGAATGTACTTTTTCATTTAAGCTCGGTTACTTACATGAGATCAGGGCGATATCGATGGATAATGGCACACAGTGCTAGGCCACTCTTCCAAGACATTGTAAGATCAGTTACATTTACACCAGCATATCCATCTGTCTGCCTCTGACACCAGCCCAAGAGCTTACTGGAGCGAGCCACCGACTCTGAAACAAATAAATATTGAGATATCTTGGACATCTGATCTGAACAAAAATCTTGTTCATTTTGTATGCATAGTACTGCTACCCACCACTACAAATGGCTCCCTCATGTTACAAAAATACAACCCATCTCTGATTTTGTGCCAAATGAAGTTTTGTTATCATCCTTATATATACAAAGAAGTTTTTTTAATTCTCCTGTCTATGCATAATAACGTCAAGAATGAATCATGCATTTTAAAGGACTGGGAGGATCAAAGGCCTTTACAAACCACAAAACAGCTTGTAAAAATTTCCAAGCAAAAGGGGCAAATGGCACCAAATAAATGGGACAGAAATGGAGCTCACCATTCCTTGACAACTTCGGTGTCCTGGAGTTCATCAAGTTCTCTATTTCCAGGTGTATGTCTTTCAAGTCTCCTGTATCATACAAATGACGTACCTGTGCATTTCAAAAAGATGAGATCTATCACATCAAGTGGCAAAGAACAGTCTAAAAAAGAAAGTCTTTGTTTAATGATATACAGCCGTATAATTTATATTGCCTTAATAATAATAATAATAATAATAATAATAATAATAATAATAATCTCATCATCATCGTCATCATCATAGCTTTATTTATATCCTGACCCCTCTCCCCAAAAGGACTCGAGGTGGCTTACAACAGAACTCACATGTGGAAGAAGGCTGGATATAAATCAATTCAATAAACAATTAATTACTGGCATTGATTTGTGAATTTGAGTTTGGTGGATTTGGGGATTCCCCAACTCTTTTGACATTCTGGAAAACCAGAATGTCAAAAGAGCCTGCTTTTCCCCAAGACTGAGAGCCAAAGCACCAGTCATTTCTCTCAGCTCTGCTTGCAAGACCTATTTTTCATTTCTTACTCATCTACAGTTTTAAAAAGTACCATGCACTCAAAATAACGCATTTTAGTTAGAGTTCTGCAGATAACTTCCCTCCTATTTTACGTTTGCAACTTCTCATCACAACTGGGATACCTTTAGTTCTTTTTGACTACCACTGCCAAAATTCCTCAGGTATATTACTAATAGCTGTTTGGCTGGGTAATTCTGGGGCTGCAATCCAAAAGGTAAATCTTCCAAGCTGTGCCTTGCACTTTCTTCTCTTTCGGTTATCCAAAAACATAATTTGACCGCTGTTCCAGAAATCTGTCCCACACCTGATCCCAGAGGCATTCAACGAAGACAGTTCCAGGCAGACATGTCACAGATTTTGGAAGAGCTCATGACTGAAGCACTTACCTGGTTTGGCCGCAAGAAGTTGACATTGATGTTTGGATACCGAGTGACAGGGTCAATGCTGTACTGGCTGAAGTTCTTGCTCACATTCTCAGGGGTGGTCTGAGGCAGCAACCTATAGATGCTCTCTCTAAGACACAGAATGACAATATATTTTACACCAGTTGTTTTCAGAGCAAATTACCTTATTGATTGGGTTGTTGTAGGTTTTTTTGGGCTATATGGCCGTGTTCTAGAGGCATTCCCTCCTGACGTTTCGCCTGCATCTATGGCAAGCATCCTCAGAGGTAGTGAGGTCTGTTGGAACTAGGAAAATGGGTTTATATATCTGTGGAATGGCCAGGTGGGACAAAGAACTTCATTTCACTTCACTTTATTTCTTAATTACTCGCTCTCCACCAAGGTGCTCCGAGTGACTTACAATTTAAAATAGCATTTCACAATATTAAAACATTCAACATAAAAACCTTTGACTATTTGGCAAATTTGATCTGATTACTTAAATGCACAACCAAACAGACAAGTCTTGAGCACTTTTAGAAAAGGTCGCAACTCCTACATTGCTCTAACATATGGAGGCAATGAGTTCCACAGAATTGGAGCATAGGTCAAAAAAGCTCTACACCTTGTAGCTTCCAGGTGTACCTCCCTAGGGCCCGGTATGTATAGGAGATTTTCCTGGGTGGATCGAGGTAACCACTGATGGAGAAAAGGAATGAGGCGGTCCCTAAGATATAAAGGTCCTTGGCCATTTTGAGCTCTAAATGTCAGGATCCGTATCTTGTAAGAGATCCGATGTTCTATTGGTAGCCAATGCAGTTGTTGCAGAATCGGTGCAATATGGGATCTTATAGATGATCCCGCTAGCAGCCTGGCCGCCGCATTTTGGACCCTCCGAATCTTCTGGGTTGTTGACTTGGGAAGGCCGGCATATAAGGCATTGCAATAGTCCAACCTAGTGGTGACTGTTGCGTAGATTACCGTTGCTAATGCTTCTACTGTAAGGTAGGATGCCAATTTCCTTGCCTGGCGAAGATGAAAAAGGCCTGCTTACTTATGGCAGTGATCTGGGCCTCCATCTTGTGTGTTGGAGCTAGGTGTGAATGTTCCAACTGACCACTTTGATGGCCTTTGATGGCCTGGCAGTGCCTGGGCAATCTTTTGTTGGGCGGTGATTACTTCAATACTTCATCGATTACTGGATAGTACAATTGTTTATATTTGCCATCAAATAGTTAGTTGCTTGTTCCACTGCATAGTAATACTTTTACCCTCTGGTATTATGTTTACTGTTTAAGTGGTTATGATAAAGACAAACTTCAGACATGCAAAAGAAAAGCATGTCATATGGATTACTATTTTGTCATTGTAAAATAAAAATGGATCAGATCACACATGAAAGCTAGAAGTGTAGCATGCTACATTCAGAAATTATGTAAGATTCACAAAAATATTTTTCCCTCCCATTTTTGGATTGAAGGAAGACTTGAAAATCTGAACGCTTACATGACAAAGATTTGGTTGGCACTTATGAAAGCATTGTTCAATTGCATGGTTTGCTCTTACTCGTGGACCAATACAATTTCCTTTCTTTTTATTAACAGTGTCTTTTCTTAATCTTGAGTTTTACAAGCCATTCTGACATTTAGCTGATTATATTTAGATTTCAAACAATCCCTCATGAGCTGTTTAGTTTGCTCATGTACTCAAGACTCACTTTTTCCATTCAACAGAAAAGACAAATGTTTACCTCCTGTTGAGTAGCAGAGGTAATAAAACACAGTCAGCACTTGTTATAGTCCTATTCAGAGTCACTTAAACTGTGTTTGACTGACCATCAGCATGTGGGAAAGCCTGTATCTGCTGTATATGTGTATGTGCCCTGACTGTTCAGCAATAACAGTGACTCACAAGGTGCACTCTCGCATGCCGTTGTTAGGAATTTCTGAGCCATTGTAAGGCATTATCAGCATTCAAAGATAGTTATGAATACTGTCTGGTTAGAGTGGTACTGATTGGTAAAAATAAAGACTGCTTAATTTCTCACATATTCTTTGATAAACACTCCATCTGCTTCTTCAACACATTTCATATCTACCATAACCTCTTCCCTTGGGCATGGCACCAGAAGTTAATAGCTATACAAATGGGACAAGGAATGAAATAATTATTTCTCAGAATAGTTCTGAGTTTAATCATACTGCTGTTTGCTGCCAAAGGCTTTTAAGGTAGTTAAACTCAGAATAGTCCATTTTAGGGAGGATCTGTTTCAGCAACAGTTGTGAGGTGCTGGTACATTGCAGACCTAAATTGACTCCTTGTTCCTGACAAATCAGTAAATGTTCCACTTCCTAATTTACACCACAGACACTAGCAGTCTAACCTTTTTGTCCACTGTCTGGATCCATTCTTCCTATTCATTGTCCCTCTATCATTGTTGTTGTGCCTTCAGGTAATCTCCAATTTATGGTGACTCTAAGGGAAACTTATTTTCACTAAGAGCCACATCAGCCTTATGGTTGTTTTCAAGGGCTGTTTGTATTATAAAACTGTATAAATGTAAATATGTTGCCCTGGCATTGAAAGCCTTGCAGGCCCCATAAAATGACGTGGCAAGCCAGATTTGGCAATCTTATCATGGGACAAGATTTGTTCAAAGAAGTTTTGCCTTTGAACAAATCTTGTCCCATGATAAGGACAGCAAATAAAAAGCAACACTCAAAAAGCAGAGAAATTCCAGACAGGAATCAATCAGGGCCAGCTAACACCTCCCAACAATGGATTCCCCCAGGGAGCAACCAGTCAGGCTTTGAAGCTTCAAGGCCATTAAATGCTAGTCTAGGTGGCCATTTGCAACATTCACACTTTCTTTAAGCAGACAAGAGTTCTTTCTTCCACCCTGGACCTTCTACAGATATATAAACCTCACTTGTCTAGTTTCCAACAGACCCCTCAACCTCTGAGGATGCATGCCATAGATGTGGGCAAAACATCAGGAGAGAATGCTTCTAGAACATGGCCATACAGTCCGAAAAACTTACAGTAACCCAGTGATTCCAGCCATGAAAGCCTACGACTACACAGTTTTGCCTTTGCCTTTCTTTGAGGCTGAGAGTGTGTGACACACCAAGACGCATCTAGTGGGTTTCCATAGCCAAGTGGGGGTTTGAACCCTCAGTCTGCAAGGCCGGACTCCAGTGCTCAAACAACTACACCACATGTTCTTCTGCCATCAACTCAGAAGTAATATACATGTGCCAAGATCAGAGAGTTTACCACAGCTACAAATCTACTCACACTGACCTGGGAATAAGCTTCATATAATTTAGTGAGACTTTTGTCTAAAAAGACACTCAAAGCATCATATTATGAGTATCACTGGACAGATCTCTCTGTTCAACTTCAGGGTAGAAAACCTTCCTTTTGGCACCTGTTGACAAATGTGCCAAAAGGAAGGTTTTCTACCCTGAAGTCGAACAGAGAGATCCCTATCATGCTTCTCCACTGACCACACTGTCTGTGTCTGAAGGGCAAATGGGGTGGTTCAGTAACATGTAGTGACTCTAAGGTAGTAGTTCTCAATTGCTTGCATTATTGTGATTATTGCTTGTATTGTGTGTTTGGGCTCGGCCTCGTGTAAGCTGCACCGAGTCCCTTGGGGAGATGGTAGCGGGGTACAAATAAAGTGTTATTATTATTATTATTATTATTATTATTATTATTATATGGAGACACATTGGGATACTTTGATTGTGCTTTTCCTGCATTGCAGAGGGTTGGACTAGATGGCCCATGTGGTCTCTTCCAACTCTATTATTCTATGATTGTTGTTTTTTAATCTCACTTAAATCCTACTGTGCTCCTCACTGGAAGAAAACTTTATGTAACATTATTTTTCTTCCTAGGTTATAAATGTCATTTCCTTATTGGTTCTATCATAAATAAATGGAAAAAGTTTATTAAACTGCAAAAACTTTGCAAGACATTCTGCAGCACATTTAATATACTTTTTCAATGAATATCTCGAGTCTCAACCACTTCAACATAGTTGTGGCTGCCACAAAAACAAAGTTTCTGGAGTGGAACAACTACTTTCAAAGTAAGTACTGAACAATTAAAAAGGAATAATACTTTCAAACCAGGAACATTTTTTTTTCCAAAATTTTGTTACATAGTGTAAGGAGACTGAAAAGTATCTGAGTTATGATTAGTTTTGATCTTAGCATACATGCAGAAAGTTTAAGATGTTTCTTCAAGAAATTGTGCAGATTTACTATATTCATAATTATTTATTACTTATTTATATAAAGAGCTACCGTAAAGTTCTCCATATATATCTTCACATCTGGAGTTACTTCACTTTTTTGTTTACCCACTCAAATGGGCACAGGCGTTGCATTACCTCTCTGCAAGGACTTCCAAAGGACCTGTTCCCAACGACCAGCTTCGTACCATCCAAGCAGAATCCATGGCAGCAAGAAAGCCCCTGGCTATTCCAGTTCCCATTGGCCAGAATGGCTGGAAGAAACCATAAAGAAGGAATGTGAAGGGGAAAGAAAAGAATAATGAGCCCAGTGGATAATTTGCTTAAAACCCAATGATCATGTAAACCAGTGTTATAAGATTTTAGTGTTCCCTTATTCCTTGAACTGCTAGAACAGCGGTGACGAACCATTGGCACATGTGCCAGAGGGGTCACACAGCGCCCTCTTTCCTGGCATGTGCGAGATCGGTCAGCTCTGCTTGCTCACTCACCCCCCACTCGCCTCCATCCAAAAACTAAACAGGGTTGACCCTGTTTTAGCTTCCAAGATCATATATAAAAATAACTTTATTTGTATTCCGTCCTATCTCCCTGGGGGATTCAGGGCGGATTCCAACATACAACAGCAAACATTCAATGCCTCCATAAAGCAAACAAGTACCAACACTATAACTCAGAAAAATCCCATATATTAAAACATTAGAATCTAACAACAATAAATTACGGCTCCAGCCCAGCTTACTAATTCTAATGTATCTCTCTCTACGTTCCACCTCGTAATTTAAGATCTACTGGGGAGGCCCTGCTCTCGGTCCCACCAGCGTCTCAAATGCATCTGGTGGGGACGAGGGACAGGGCCTTCTCGGTGGTGACCCCCCGCTTGTGGAATTTGCTCCCCAGCGAGATTAGATCGGCGTCCTCCCTCCTTATTTTTAGGCAAAAACTAAAGACGTGGTTTTGTAGCCAGGTCTTTGGCTAGTGGGCACAGCAGCACTTTAGGCACTGAACCCAGACAATAGGATTGTTATGAAAATTGGAAATGGCTATATGACTTGTGATTATGTGATTTGTTCTATGTGATTATGTAATTTTAATTAATATCAATGTTTAATTGTTATGTAATAGGATTTTATATTGTTGGTTTATATTGTTGTTATTGATACTATTGGCATTGAATTGTTGCCTGTGTTAGCCGACCTGAGTCCCCCCGAGGGGGTGAGAAGGGCGGGGTAGAGATGGTGTAAATAAATAAATAAATAAATAAATAAAACAATCATAATCAAACAGGCATTATACAATGATGTAAAATCTGAATGTAAAACATTCACATTAATTTACAAAAGCCAACTACCGTTCACAAAATTGTGTAGGTTGGTTTTGTGGGCAGAGTGGTTGTATAGACAGTCATGGTAACTGGGCTAACATTGACTAGAGAAGCCCGAAAACAGAGGTCCGGTAGATGTGACCTGATAGGCTATTTAGCTCCTATTTATATCACTGGTACAATGCTGGTAACAATACATATGACCCACCAGAAGACTGTTGGTGAATTTCTCACCTTAAAAGTTGAACTTGTTTTTGATAATTTGAACCCAACCGCCTGACAAAGACTCTTGTGAGTCGAAACCGGTAGCAGGTTGGAGTCAATTCATGAGACTACTGGAGTCTACTCACATGTAATAAAGAAAGGACATTTTCTCAAACGAAGACTTTGCTTTATACTTCAAGAGAAGGACCAATTGTTTCTACTTATGTGTATGTGGCAGTTTTTGATATGTGTATTTGTGATATATACATTGAGTTAATTTAGTTATTTTCATATCACCACTATCAGTGGATTTTGGTCTCCACAGTTTCAGGGAAACCCATTTTTCTTTTTAACAATACATATGCACCATCTTGGATCCGTAGAAGGAAATGACATAAACCTAAGGACACAAAAGCAAGAAATAATTCATTTAAGCTATTTAAAGAACCAACCTCCAACAGACTGTCTCCAACCAAAGCCACGAGCAGTTGGTGGCCATTTACTTCTCGAACCATGGCTGCGTTCTCTGAGGCATACATGCAGGTGAAATCAAACATGGCTACATCAGGTTGCCCATAGTGGTTGATGGCAAAGTCCAGAGATGGCAGCTGCTGATTGGTTGAGAAGTCTGCTGCTTCCCTGGCATAGCTGAGCAAAGCCTCCTGGTCCACATTCTCCCGTGAAAGTAACAGCTCAGTGTCTGCATAGTCCTGGATGATGAGAAAGAAAGATCATGTCCCTGCAAAATAGCCTAAGGGCAAGCATTCCAGTCTGACAGTCTACCTAAATGAGAGATGCTGTAGGAAGGATTTGGAAGCTGTTTTCAACTCCTCAGTATGTGGACAGGGAATTTTTGTGTGTGTCAGGAGTGATTCTGGTGTAAGACCATTGGCCACCTTCAAGGACATTGCCCAGGGGACGCCCAGATGTTTTACCATCCTGTGGAAGGCTTCTTTCATGTTCCCATATGAGAAGCTGGAGCTGACAAATGGGAGCTCACCCCACTCCCTGAATTTGAATCGCCAACCTTTCGGTCAGCAGTCCTGCCGACACAAGGGTTTAATCCAGTGGTTCTCAACCTGTGGGTCCCCAGATGTTTTTGGCCTACAACTCCCAGAAATCCCAGCCAGTTTACCAGCTGTTAGGATTTCTGGGAGTTGAAGACCAAAAACATCTGGGGACCCCAGGTTGAGAACCACTGGTCCATTGCGGCACCTGGAGCTCCAGGGTAAGTAATAAAAGAGCCTGAATAAGAATTGTGAGGAAGACTGAGAATACACAATTTGCAGCACCTTGTTTTGATACTAAACACTGGGATTTCACTTTCACAAGCACTTTTCATTATGGGCCAGAATACTTATTTTGATGTCATTCAGAGAATCTTAGGGGAAACAACTGATATTCCAGCCATACTTCAGTGATGAAACTAACATCTCACTCCTCAATACATTTTGTATTCAAAAGTAAACATGTTTCCTTTGATCAATATAAGTTCAATATCTGACCCTATAAAACACACATCTTGAAACCACAACTCCCACATCCTGCAACCAGTAAGACCCTTGCCCATCCATTTATTAAGTCAGAGACCAATGAAATATTGGCAAAAGCGACCATACAAATTTTACTACTATTATGGTTTAAAGGTGCCAATTATGCTTTTCTTCAAGACAACCAAAGGAAGAGACCATGGGAATCTGTGAAGCCAATGCTGCGTTTCAGCTGGCAGAATGGTCTGGTTCAATAGAAAATGATTTCCTATCTTCTTATATTACAATTGCAGTAGCTTTACACACAGCCTCTTGTTTCTGGATGATGCTACTTGCCACGTTACTCTAGGATTATGTAAGGGGTCCCTCTTTGCTCATAATTTACAATACCTTAAAAATCAGCCAGTTAAACTATTCTAAAACACTGCTGTGATAGCCAAGTACAAGTCAGTCAAATGGTTTGCATTACAGCTATGGAATAATGACACTAGAGTTCCTCAAGGATGTATTTATTTATCCTCATCTTTTGACGTATTCATAGTTCTCATCATAAAATCTGGGCAGCTTCAAACAATTTGCAGAAAAAACAAAATGTCAAAGAAAGTACCAATAAACAATAGTGCGTGAAATCTAGACCAGATGATGTTCATGTCTATTGTACATTTAAAGTGTCCTTGAGTAAAGTTAATGTGTTAGGGTGTGGTTGCTGACTCTTCAGGACCACTTGTCTTTGTTTCTCCTTCTCTCTCCCTTCCCACTGCCATAAAAATGTAAATATAATATGAACTCTTCCGTGTGTATAAGTGGCCCTCCAGAGAAGGGAAAGCACAATCTTTGGGAGGTTCAGTTTGTTGCTAATGTGCCAAACCAGGTATAGTTCCTCCTTGCCTTAAATAAGCAACCAATATTACATTGGTATTGTGATATTGTGACAGTGAATTATTGCCTGTGTTAGCCGCCCTGAGTCCCCCCTCGGGGGTGAGAAGGGCGGGACAGAAATGGTATAAATAAATAAATAAATAATAAATAATAGTATAAGGCTAGATTAAGATTTCATTATTTAGCATTTGTATTAAGAATCATAAGATCTGCAGACTAACAAAAACTAACAAGAAAATCTAAATGTGTATGTGTATGGAGGAATACCCTGTGGGTTTTTGAACCATACCAAGTGGTGTCCAATTAACACCCAGCAGCCCTATCTGCATAGCCAAAGATGAAGAAATGCATCTGGTGGGGACGAGGGACAGGGCCTTCTCGGTGGGTACCCCCCACTTGTGAAATTTGCTCCCCAGAGAGATTAGATCAGCATCCTCTATCCTTTCCTTTAGGAAAGAACTGAAATCGTGGTTGTAGAACCAGGCCTTTGGCTAGCAGACATAACAGCACTGTAGACATTGAACTGGATCGTATGATTGTTATAATAATGGAAATGGCTATATGTTGTTGTTGTTCATTTGTTCAGTCGTCTCCGACTCTTCGTGACCTCATGGACCAGCCCACGCCAGAGCTCCCTGTCGGCCGTCACCACCCCCAGCTCCTTCAAGGTCAGTCCAGTCACTTCAAGGATGCCATCCATCCATCTTGCCCTTGGTTGGCCCCTCTTCCTTTTACCTTCCACTTTTAATATGTTATTGTTTTTAATCTATTGTGTATTCATGGTTTTATATTGTTCTTATATTGTAATATTGTGGCATCGAATTGTTGCCAGTGTAACTGCTCTGAGTCCCCCCTCGGGAGTTGAGAAGTGCAGGGTAGAAATGTTGTAAATAAATAGAATAAATAATAAGAAAGATCAGACTCAAAATACAATATTTAGAGACCCACATAATTCCTTCCACTGAACTAACTCTTGCGGCTGAGAGAACAGTTTCCCTAAGCAGAACGATGGAAGAGACAATGCTGCTTCTGGCCTGCATTCCTCTCCCTGCAAATTTCCCTTTAGAGTCAACATTAAAAGTCAGTAAGGGCTTCATAGTTTGGGGAAGCACACAGACTCAAGCATAAAAAGGCCCTCAAAAAAAAAAAAATCTAGGCTGCAAGCCCATTTACCCAGGACTTATTACTTAAGAAATGGGGCTACAAAGTGGAATCCACGACATGTGAGTGTGGAGAAGAGCAAACCACTGACCACCTGCTGCAATGCAACCTGAGCCCTGCTACATGCATAATGGAGGACCTCCTTGCGGCAACACCAGAGGCACTCCAAGTGGCCAGATACTGGTCAAAGGACATTTAATCAACTACCAAGCTTGCAAATTTTGTGTTTTGTCTGTTTGTTTGTTTGTTTTTGTTCTCTTAGAAATGTAATACAATTATCTGGTTACCCCTGACACGATAAATAAATACATACTTCTGTGCAGATATGTTTAGGATTGTTCTGGTGTTTTTACAATTGGAATTTCTGCTGCAACCTTAGAAAACATTATTTTCCCTCTGAGCAAAACTGTCAAAAACTCTTTTGGCACACAGGCTCCAATAAAAGCTCTTCCAGTCTCAATGCATGCAAATCATCATCTCCCCTCCCTGATCCATAGGGATGTTGACATATCAAAAAGACAAACATAGAAACAATCCTCCGTTTGTCATTTGAAGGTAATACTCCTCAGAGAACAAAACCCACTGCTGCCAGAAGTACTAAACATCCCACTTTCAATGCATGTCTTTTTAAACCAAAGCACACTCCACCAAAATGTCAAAACCAAGTTCCAATTAATCAGTCAACTGAAACTGCAAACCCTTGTCCTTTCTAAAATAAAGCAAAAACAAATCTTCTTATCTATCAAGCCTTGACTAAGATTTCAAAGAGCAAACACACACTTACATGTAATATTACTCCTTTTTCCAGTAAGCTCTGCTTTTTGGCAGTCATGACAAAATAGTGGGTGTCATCTTTGTAGTAGACGATGTTCTCTAAATCAATGCCTGAGGAAAACACACAGAGGAAATATAAAGGAATTGCTTGGAAAAAGTCAAAAGCACATAGGAGCAAAATGAGAGAGAGACAAAAAACACTCTCTCAGCAGTAACCACAACAACAATAGGTGACTTTGGCAATGTTGTTTGTCTGGTTCGAAAGGCAATTCAAAATGTAGCTCATGATGTATGGCTATCCAGTGAGTCCTTCCCATTCGAAGATTACAGGATTCCTAACTAGAACTGTAGACATGATTTCAGAACCTACTAAGAAGGATTCTCAAAGAATCAGGCTGCCAAAGTACATAGAAGACTTTGGAATTTAAAGTCCACAGGAAGTGATATAGAAAGGTTACATTACAGTAGTCCTATGCAAGACCGTCAGGTATCCACAGGAAACCATACTAGAAACAGCAGTAATACACTAGGCCAGTGGTTCTCAACCTGGGGTCCCCAGATGTTTGGCCTTCAAGCCCAGAAATCCTAACAGCTGGTAAACTGGCTGGGATTTCTGGGAGTTGTAGGCCAAAACACCTGGGGACCCACAGGTTGAGAACCACTGCACTAGGAAATCAATGAGCTCCCTAAAGGCACCATGTGGGTCCCTAGATGTTTTGGCCTTCAATTCCCAGAAATCCTAACAGCTGGTAAACTGGCTGGGATTTCTGGGAGTTGTAGGTCAAAACACCTGGGGACCCATAGGTTGAGAATCACTGGTCTAAAACATGATGCAGTATAACTCTCTTCAGAAAGGTCTTCTATATTTTCTGGCAATTATGATGGTGAATCACTGTTACAGTCTTTCACACAGGACTCAAGAAGTATGCATTAAGAAAAGCAATTTTCTTTATGGATGTGGTATAAAGGAGAACACAGGAAGTAGCTAAGAATAGTAAGAGAGCCAACATATGCACCACATCTAGTTGAGAGTAGTTTGGGGAAAGTTATATATGAATTTCACCAGATAATGTATGGGCCCACATTCAGACATCCTAGTTCTCACAGCTGATCCTAGTAAGATAAAAGCTGAAGTATTTGCCAAAGTGGGTAATTGTGGTTCAGGGTTAGGAATTATGCAAGTGACTGGACATCACCTGTGCAAATGTAATTTGCAAAAGATTTTCTTACTATTTACTAAATGTTGGTGTTTTTTTTCCAGATGGCAAGTGAGTGAAAGGGCATCAGAGACAAAATAATTATATATACAGCTAAGTGGAAGACTGAAGAATCAACATGGACAAAAGACCTTAAGATGAGGTAATCACATAAAAAATAAACTGTAGACAACCATGGTCCTCTTTGAACACATCCTCATTCCTTGCAGAATGTGGGGTTATGCCTCTTACTTTAGATATACTGCTATCAAAACAACTTCAGGTGCAGGGCGGCTGAAGCTTGCAACTTCAGCCGCCCTGAGTCCCCCCCCACCCAATCAGGGGTGAGAAGGGCAGGGTACAAATGTATGAAATAAAGAAATTGCAGTATCCAAAATTCACAACTTTCAGCAATAGTCACCTCCAAGCATAGAAGGAAATAATGAAAAAGTAATATATATTACTTCTACCAACCTGTAGCTTCTCGCAAATCCTGGAAGAATTTCTGATTGAATATGAAGGCTACACCACTGATCTCTTCAACTTTGGCTTCCGCTGTGGTATTGCGGTTGATGAAATTTGCTGTGATGGCAATGGCTAGCTTGCCACGAAATTCTTTTCGTCGAAAACCTGCAGAACAGATAAGGAACAACAAAGCAGGTCTTGGTTGGATTCATATACTTACAACAAGAGACCTACTGAATGAGAGAAGAGGCTCAAATACTAAAGAAATGCCTTTGGGGAATCATTATGAAAAATAATAATTATGAAAAATAATTATGAAGAAGTATTCACCATAACAATAAGCATATATACTTTATGCAATGGCATAATTAGAGCCAGCATGATATAGCAGTTTCAATGTCAAACTAGGACTCTGGAAGATAAGGATCTTTGGTTTCCTTGACCAAGAAGATAAGGCTTGGTCAAGGAAAGCTAAAGAGCAAGATATACTCCTTCATGCTTGGATGAAGGCAATGCAAACCCCTCTGAACAAACCTTATCAAGAAAACCTTGTGCAATACTTTCAAATAAAGCATGTGCTCTACTTATCAAAAAAGCCCTCAAATTTACCAAAATTTACCCAAATCTCACTGGAGGACCTGCAAGTACTTGCAAGAATGGCTAGGCATCAAGATGAGCAGATTATTTTTTAATTATTTATTTGACTTGTATACCTCTACTCCCAATTTGGCTCAGAGCGGTTTACAGCAATAGATTAAAACAATACAATTAACTTTAAAATACAATAAAACGAGAACAGACATTAGAATATCTTTCCATAGTCTGGACTCTTTGCATATGTTGGAACTACAGCTACACAGATCTCCAGAAAACATTGATAACGGTCATACTGATTGGCAAATTGAAATTCAACACATTAGATGGGAAAGTGTTAGTCTACAGAGGAACTGGCACTAGGCTGCTGTAGATACCAGCAAGGTTTACCTTCCAAAGTATTGCGTCTTCCATCTCCTCCAATTATCACATCAAACTCGTATTCTGACACAGGATGTGTTTTCGGGTGTACCTGTGCACGCCAACCTATTCCTGTGGACACATTACGTATTATCATGACATTTTATAGGTTTTAGCAATCTTATTCAAAACACTCAGAAATTATTTCACTAGACGTAACAATATTGAGTTGGTAGTTAACCATGCCCCTTACTCTTCCCCTCCTTGTCTTAAGTACCATTAGTGGAACAAATGTGGAACACACAATAGATACACATATACATTACTGGAAGAGCTGTGTAGAATTAGCACTCACCGTGTTATGCTCACACATGAACAAGCCCATAATCACTTTCCCAACAATGCAAACATCCTCTTTCATATTTCTGAGATCTGCCACGAACACCAACAATACTTACTCTCATTCTCTTGATCCTCAGGAGGGTAGAGAAGTCCCTGGAACTCTACATTGACATGGATTTCAACACCCAGGATTAAGGAGACCTTCAAGAGTATCAACTGGAGCTGACGAATACCTGCAAGAAAGACAATGCAAACCATTACTCAGTAAGATGTCTCCAGTACTATACCTCTTAACTGAAACAGGCAGATTTGTAAAAGTTGATGCTAAACATTACTGTCATTCTCCTGAAAGGGTTCTGAAAGCTAAAATAACAGTCAAAGTGTCAGTAAAATAAATGAAAGTACCCTTGAATTTTTCTGAATGGCTAGTAGAGAAGAATTTTTGAAAGATCATGTTCAAAGTCAACTTTGCAAAGGGAAGTTGATCAGGAGGTCAGACGGAAGAAATATTCATTCTCCGTGTTCAACATAAAGTACTAGAAGACAGTTACTGGTAATTATTTTCTCTACGGTTAACATATCACAAGACTCGATTGCTTTTGTTTTTCCTTCAACACAGCAACACCAGTTTCTTCAAGAAATTATTTCCAGATTCCACCTTTATCAGATCAAGAGAACTCACTAACCCAATCAGTTATATTTGGCAGTAAGCCTAATGTACAGAACAACCAAGTAGTTCTGGTGCCAATAGTCACAGAGACAGAGCAAACATCCATGGTAGGTCCTTTACATATACAGTACTAGCCATCCCCTGCCACTCATTGCTGAGGCCCAGTGTGTATATGTGTTTTGTGTGTGTATATATATTTGTGTATATGTATATATATGTGTGTGTTTGTGTGTGTGTGTGTATATGGCATTGCACATGCATTGTAATGTATTTTTGGGGCTTTTTAAGTCCCTTCTGCTGTGTTTTTCAGTGTTTTTATGAGTGATGTTCACTCGTTGGCCTGATAGGTGTATTGTGTCCAAATTTGGTGTCAATTCATCCAGTGGTTTTTGACTTATGTTAATCCCACAAACGAACAATACATTTTTATTTATATCGATAGCAGAACATTACAAACCCTTCCACACAAACAATGCAGGCATTCACATTATACATGTTAATGTAAGGCAGTGGTTCCCAACCTTTTTTTTGACCAGGGACCACTTGAACACGGACTACTTTTACCAGGGACCACTCTCAAAAATTAGTACCAAAAGGGTTACAAATCAGTTTTGGTCAACTTTAGATTGGGTTTCATTTTTTGGGGTGCTGATTCAGAAAATTGCATTGGATAGATCACATCAGATCTAGTTTCTGGTACAGAACATATGCCATCCAGTAGTTGCCATCTGCTCACCCACAAAAAACCATACTGAACAATCTAAAGCTGATGTGGTTGTAGTAATCTTTTGTGGGTAGTCAGCCTCCCTCCTCCCAACATCTCCATTGCCTCAGAACTATAAGAGGGTTTCAAGAGACCAGTTGCTATAATTGCTACGTGGTTTTGAGACAACGGTGTAGTAATGGTGAGGCCGTGGACCATATTTTCATTCTTGCAGACCACTGGTAGTCCACGGACCACAGGTTGGGGACCACTGATGTAAGGAGGCAAAGCTTCTTGAAACAAGTAACTATGAAGACAGTGATTCAGTACAGTATCACACCATGTCTGGCTTTCTGCTAAATGTAAGACTATTAAAACTCATCTTCTTTCTGTAACAATAGGAACCTGTGTGGTGCTATGGTGAGACTAGGACTGAAGAGACTCAGATTTATACAGCTACTCAGTCATGAAGCTCACTTGAGTGACCTTGAGCCACTTGCAATCTCTCAGCCTGACCTACTTCACAAGGATATTGCAAAGATAAAAAGAGGAACAGAGCAATGGCCTTTCATCTTTACCTCCTCCCACCACCCTTTCCTCTGTGTCAAGTTGTACATGCTAAGTTTCTTGGGGCAAGGAGCTATTATAATGATAGGTGGTTGAACAGCCATTATTTGCTGCCACATTCTTCTATATCCCCTTTGGCTAAGCTGTAAATACTTCTTCGTAACTGCCTGCTATTCTGAAAGGCCGTTCAACTAAGCTGAATGGTCCAGATGGCAGTTATCATCTACACAGCTGTCTGCAGGGATAAACAAGAAAAGCGCACTTACTGATATGGTCAATGGCTCCTGCACAGAATTTTCCATAGAACTTTTTGGCGCCAAGGCCCCGCAAGTCATGGATTGTAAATGGCCACAGGTGCAGAACATTGTTGCGGGAGAAGGCATCACGCTTTTCTATCACCACCACCTTTGCTCCCAGAAAGGAGAGGTCAATGGCTGTTCGAAGGCCGCAGGGTCCAGCCCCAATAATGAGACACTAAAAGAAAAGAAACAAGTATAAGAGGGATATTTCCACCACACATGAAATAAGGAGGGAAGGGGTATCTGTTTGCCACAACATGCCTTCAAATAAAAAAAGAGGCCAAGGTGATGTTGAACAACCTATTTAATAACAGCTTTGTCAGGGAAATATAATTTCTACCACATTCACTGGAGGGATAGCTTCATAAGTGGAAGTATGCAGATGTAAAATAGATCCAGCCAGAGCTCACTTTAGGTTTGTATCAGACACTGTCAAGATTTCAAAACTACAATGTTAATTTCCCATATGGAATTGCATTGGTAAACTTAAGCAGGTAAGTTGTATGCATTTGCATTTTTTTTAATATTAACAGCAATGATAAGAAGCAGCAGCAACAACAGCAGCTTCTATACCACTCTTTATCATAAGATCTAAGAGCCCCCGATGGCTGAATAGGTTAAACCCTTGTGCCGGCAGGACTTCTGACCAAAAGGTTGGCAGTTCAAATCCAGGGAGCAGGATGAGCTCCTGTTTGTCAGCTCCAGCTTCTCATGTGAGCACATGAGAGAAGCACCCCACAGGATGGGAAAACATCTGGGCATCCCCTGGCCAACGTCCTTGCAGATAGCCAATTCTCTCACACCAGAAGCAACTTGCACTTTCTCAAGTCTCTCCTTACACAAAAAAAGGTTCTAATAGTAGTGCTCTAATAGTAGTAATAATAGTACAATATAACACTTCCAGAGTAAAAGCAAAAACACTTTAAATATAAATACATATTAAACATATCAGAGCCACTTAAAAGCAACTTTAGAACCACACTTAAAATGACAATTTTAAACCATGTATACCTTGAAATAAACCAGTTCCTAAAGGTCTTAATAAAATGCCATTTTTAAAGCTTTGCTTCAAAAAGAAAACAATATTGATACCACACTTCCAAGAGGAGGACACTCTATAATTAGGGCACCAAAGGCAGCTACAAATAGGCAGAGGCATTCCTTCACTTACTAATATCCAAAGCCATTTAGGGCTTAAAATGTCATCATCAGCACCTTGAATTCAGGCCAGAATCAAACTAAAAGTCAGTGCAGCCTCTTTAAAATTTAACAGTGTGGCTATTACTGTTCAGGACAGGCTGGAGCTGGCAGAGCAGCCTGAGGTGGCACCAAACATTCCTTCCCACAGAGTCCACTTTGGCCTTCAATGATAAAAACCAACCTAGGAATATTACTAAGCTATGTCAGTAGGTTGTCAGCTAGAGTAACCGGGGCAATTTGGCATTATGTCCTTCCTTGAAACTAGACTGAAATGGGTCCAGTTAATCTATTTTTTCCCAAGAATGCTCCAATCACCAAAAGCCAAAAGGGTAGTATTGGCAACCAGGTTGCAGCTGCTGACACATATCTCTGGTTCTAGGGAGACATCCATTAGTATTATTAATTAACTTATTTACAGTATTTATTTACATTCTACCCTTTTCACCCCGAAGGGGACTCAAGGTGGATCACAGAACACATATATGGAAAGCATTCAATGCCGTTATACACAAAAAGGACAGACACCAGTACACATAGGGATATATAGGCTTTTCCCATCTTCAGTGTCTTGAAGGTTGTGCTCGATTATGGCTACGGGGATTGCTATCGCTCCATCCTCCACTGCGAAGTTCACAGATGTCTTTCTTTTTTTATCAAATCGCTGGCATTTTCCTTATGGTGCCATTAAAATACCTCCCCGCTAAGCGGTACCTATTTATCTACTCACAGCTGCTAGGTGGAGCTGGGCTGAAGGTTGGGCGCTCACCCCCGACCCGGGCTTTGAACTACCAACCTTTCGACTGGCAAGATATATTGAGCCAAAGCCCAAGTGGATCCCCACCGACTTCAAAGGAGCAGGTATTTTCCCTGGGTCATTTAACACCTCCTATCTAGATCCATCTCAGCAATCCACAGCCCTGGCTTCTGCCAACTTAGCAGTTCGAAAACATGCAAATGTGAGTAAATCAATAGATATCGCTTCGGCAGGAAGGTAATGGTGCTCCATGCAGTCATGCCGGCCACATGACCTTGGAGGTGTCTACGGACAACGCTGGCTCTTCGGCTTACAAATGAAGATGAGCACCACACCCCAGAGTCAGACATGACTGGACTTAATGTCAGGGGACAACCTTTACCTTTACCTTTAAGTTGGGGAAGGGTGAAACCTCCATGTGTTGGAACAGACTAATTCAAGTGTCATCAGGCTGAAACAATTGAAACAGATCCCAAGAAACATGAACACACAGAGTACTGGAAACTTCAAACTCTACTATTACTATATAATAAAGTTCTGGATGAATATGAGTGCCTCAAAGTACTTGACAAACTTGTCATAGTAGCAACTGAGGGCTGCAATGCTGGTTTCTCTGAGCCTAATCCCAATAGGCGACTCGCAGCTCAAAATAACTCTGATGGGTAGCATTATTGAGGATATAATGGTGGGAGCTTAATGTATTTGAAGTGCAATCTATTCTACCATGTCATGCTCCTATCACCTCTTTGGCCAAATTATTCACTGTATGAGGATTGGGAGACCACAGAAAAATCTCCAGTCCTCACTCTCACATACCTTACAGTGGCCAGATTCACACATAAGGCAAGCCAGGCTGTAATTTGTTAAATGACAGCGCTACATCTACAACTGTCTTCCCAAACATACAGTGGTTTGTTAGTCACTAACAAACACTAATAGCCCATGGTGCATTTTGTCAAAAAAATTAAATATTAACTGGGTATTTTTGATTACAAAAGTGTGAGTCAAGCACTGAAAGAGTTAGTAGGCTGAAGCCTGTTAGAGTTAGTAGGACAAAGCTAGCATCGCCCTGAGGAGAGTGAGTAGGCTGAAACCTGTTAGTGTTAGTTTGCCTCTGTGAGGGAATGCCTCAGTCAGTGTGAGGAGGCTTCTCTGTGAGGTAGGCCTCACAGTATGAAGAAGGCCTGATATGAGAAGGCATGGAATAAGAGAAGCCTCATGTGGGAAGACCCAATGTGAAGGCTGAACTTTATTTGTGTTGTGGAAACCTTATTATTGTAAATACTGCAACTACCATATATACTCGTAGATAAGCAGAGTTTTTCAGCCCTTTTTTAAGCCAAAAAAAGCCTCCCTCAGCTTATAATGGGGCCAAGGTCAAGGCTGGACAGGGGAGTCTGGAGGCAATTGCTTGCAATACATGATATATTTCTTCACCTCCTTTGACAGTGTATTTTCTTTTCCAGTCATCCAATATCCTGGCCTTTTTTTGTGTATCTAAATGTATTAACTTTATATGTGCATTTTTCTTTCCTTGGAAATTTCCCCCTCATATGTTTTCAGGTCCTTGCAAATCCTATATACATATAGAGATTTAGAGATTTCCATGTACCTGTATATCTGTATCTATATGTATAAATTCTTTTTATATGAATTTTCCCCTCACATGTTTGCAAGTTTCTGCAATTCCTATAAAGAAATAATTATCTATATATAGAGAGATGGCTAGATAGATATACATGATATACATGAATATAGATATATGTATAGTATATAGTATTAGTATATATAATTAGATTTGCAAAGACATGAAAACATATGAGGGGGAAATTTCCAAGGGAAGAATTAGTATATATAATTAGATCTATATCTAGCTCTGCATTGTTTACATAGGCATTGAATGTTTGCCTGTTACTATGCTGGAAGCCGGCCAGAGTCCCCATGGGGAAATAGGGCAGGATACAAATGAAGTTCTATTATTATTATTATTATTATTATTATTATTATTATTATTCATCAGGCTGAAACAATTGAAACAGATCCCAAGAAACGTGAACAAACAGAGTACTGGAAACTTCAAACTCTACTATTACTATGTCATCAAGTTCTGGATGAAAATGATTGCCTCAAAGTACTTGACAAACTTGTCATAGTAGGCAACTGAGGGCTGCAATGCTGGTTTCTTTGAGCCTAATCCCAATAGGCGACTCACAGCTCAAAATAACTCTGATGGGTAGCATTATTGAGGATATAATGGTGGGAGCTTATTATGTTGATACCATATTGTTTTCTGTTGTCCCTCCTTTTCTATTTACAGAACTAGTTTACTGTTTTTCTTTGAAATATGGTAAATATTCAAAAACATTTAACCTACTGATGCCTCAGTTAATGTAATTTTATTTCTATCTATTTTTACTTTGAAATTTACCAGTAGCTGCTGCATTTCCCACTCTCGGCTTATGCTTGAGTCAACAAGTTTTCCCAGTTTTTTGTGGTCAAATTAGGTCCCTCGGCTTATATTCGGGTCGGCTTATATTCGAGTATATACAGTATATTATTTTACTTCAAAGAAAAGCCTCTTATGGAAGAGATAACATTGGTCTGGGTGTTTTTGTTCTATTTATCACTTTTCGCTACTGGTGATGGGTCACACTACTGCTAATAAGTTACCCTGCTGTACATTCTTTAGTTAAGCCCACTCACGCAACATGCTTTTGGTTTACAAACACTAGTGTGTTTTAACCTCTAGTTCAGTGTTTCTCAACCTTCCTAATGCCGTGACCCCTTAATAAAGTTTCTCATGTTGTGGTGACCCCCAATCATAAAATTATTTTTGTTGCTACTTCATAACTGTAATTTTGCTACTGATATGAATTGCAATGTAAATATCTGACATGGAGGGTGTATTGTCATTCATTGGACCAAATTTGGCACAAATACCTGATTCGCTCAAATACTGGTGGGGTTGGGGGGACTGATTTTGTCATTTGGAAGTTGTAGTTGCTGGGATTTATAGTTCACCTACAATCAAAGAGCATTCTGAACTCCACTAACGATGGAATTGAGCCAAACTTGGTACACAAAACTCACATGATCAACAGAAAATACTGTTTTTTTCTGATGGTCTTTGGTGACCCCTCTGACACCCCCTCACGACCCCTCCAGGGGTCCCGACCCCCAGGTTGAGAAATGCTGCTCTAGTTTGTTATTACATCGGAACCTAGAATCTGGCTTGATTCCCCAAGGAAGGAGGCAAAAATACCAGAAATAGGGGAATCAAGCTATAGTTTGGCTAGTTGTCATGACTAAAGCCAGCAAACCTTGACTAAAAATGAACCCATGTCTTAGGATGATATACAGACAAAACCAGTGTTCTAGGAATGAAATAAAATATATAAATTCCAGGAAATTCTGTACTGCGTAGAAATGCAAGAGCCAAAAACCACTTGGGAACTTATAGCAGCTCTGTCACCGCTGAGGCCATCAAATGGGGGATTCACTCAGTGGCTACAATAAGAATTCTTAACCTAGGTCATTATTTTAAGTCAGAGATTTATACTGGCAAGTGAGATCACCAAGTCATCCAAACAGGATAGAAAAGATAAGGCCAAAGCCAGGGTATCAGGAGATCAAGCGCAGGCAGCATTAGCCAGAGATGGAACTTGTAAAGTACACTGTGAACTCTATTAATCTTTGGTACACAATGTTTCTCAGAACAGCCGAAACAGATATTGCTGTCAGCAGAACCCTACCTTACATTATTGGAATTTAAAATTTCAGTACATTATTTTATCATCATCTCAATGTTTGAAAAAAACACAACGTTAGAAGGCAATTTACTCTTTTCCACAGAAAAAGAAGGCACAATGGGCAAATGTAATGTTTAATGTTTTAATTTGCAACCAGTGATATTGTTTTTGAAGCTTATATTTATATTCTTATTCTGATTTTTGTATTGGTTTTAACTTGTATTGGTTTTAACTTGTATTGGGAGAAAGATGAGGTACAAGTTAATAAAGTAACGACAGCCACCTCTCTATATATATCACATTGCTTGCATCATAAACACAAAGAATAGATATCAGAATTAAATTGGAAATTTCTGCTTATGAGTATAACTCATTTCCATGTAATTCCACATAGTATGCAACCCATAATTGTAATTTTTCATATTATATTTATTTGGTTCTAAGATGCAATCGATTGAAAGACACAAGTTAATTTTCAGTACCATGAATGGAGCTTTATTTATAAATATAAAAAACACCTGTGATTTGAAGATGTAGCCCATTTAGATATATTTACTGTATATACTCGAGTATAAGCCGACTTTTTCAGCCCTTTTTTTAGGGTTGAAAAAGCCTCCCTTGGTTTACACTAGAGTCAAAGTTATTTATTATTTTACTGGGTAATTATTACTATTTAATTACATTTATTATTTTACTCTATTATTATTGTTATTATTACATTTCCATTATTTTACTATTGGAAGGATACGTAAGCACATTTACATTGAAGAAAGTTAGAATAATGGTTTAATCTGAGTTTGACAGTCTTATCTTAAAACTACAGTTTTATGTAAACATTCAAAAACATTTAACCTACTGATGCCTCAATTAATGTAATTTTCTTGGTATCTATTTTTGTTTTGAAATTTACCAGCTACATTTCCCACCTCCGGCTTATACTCAAGTCAATACATTTTCCCAGTTTTGGGTGGTAAAATCAGGTGCTTCACCTTATATTTGGGTCAGCTTATACTCAAGTATATATGGTATATGGCAGGGGTCCTCAAACTTTTTAAGCAGAGGGCCAGGTCACAGTCCCTCAAACTGTTGGAGGGCCGGATTATAATTTGAAAAAAAAACCATGAATTAATTCCTATGCACACCACACATATCTTATTTATAGTGGAAAAACACTTTAAAACAATACAATAATTAAAATCAGGAACAATTTTAACAAATATAAACTTATTAGTATTTCAATGGGAAGTATGGGCCTACTATTGGCTGATGAGATAGGGTTGTTGTTTTTGTTGTTGTGTGCTTTCAAGTCATTTCAGACTTAGTTTGACCCTGAGCGTGAGCCGGGTAAATGACCTTGGAGGGCCGTATCCGGCCCCCGGGCCTTAGTCTGAGGACCCCTGGTATATGGTATAAGATCATCCGGGGAGGCCCTGCTCTCGCTCCTGTCAACAGCACAAATGCGCCTGGTGGGGAAGAGAGACAGAGCCTTCTTGGCAGTAGCCCCCCGCCTATGGAACACACTCCCAACTGAGGTAAGATCGGCCACCTCCCTACTAGTTTTTCGAAAGAAACTAAAGGCATGGTTTTGGGACCAGGCTTTTGGACAATAGATGCAAGCAGCACTTTAAGGGAATGTGACTGGAATAACAATATGGCTGATGAAACTGTTTTACTGTTTTAACGATGGCTTATGCATTGTTAATTATGCTTTTATGTCTAATTGAGGTTTTAATTTTGTAATTTGTTATGTAATGGCTTCAGAATGGGGCCCATTGTAAGCCGTTCTGAGTCCCCCTTCGGGGGTTGAGAAGGACGGGATAGAAGTGCGAGAAATAAATAATAATAAATAATATATGGGGAGAAAGTGCACCTTAGAATTGAAGAAGTTCAGTACATCTCATACATGACAGTTTTTCAATGCTCACCTTCGTGTTGGCGCATACTTTTCCCTTCTTGTAGTCTTTGTGGCAGCCTCTCTTATCCAACTTGGCCCACAGGGCTTTGGCTTTCCAGTAATTAAGCTTAGACTTGAGCTTATGGTAAAAAGTACGATAGTCCTTGGGCTTCAGTTCTAAATAATCACAGAGGTCCTGGAAGGCTTTCAAAGTTCCTTTGCAGGTTGACGCCTGGACAAATCGGTCAAAGAGAACATGGGCCTGATTGACCTTCTCCTTGCTCCTCTCCTCCATGTTCCCAGCTTATCCACTGGCCCTCCTTGGTACGTCGGCAGCTGTCCCCTTCCAGTCTGCCTGGCTCCTTGGCTGTCTTTTTGTTCATCAACTATCCCTGGTTTCAATCCATGTCCATTATAAATCTAGAAAAGCAAAAGAGAGAGGTTACTGGATCTACACTGGCTCTTTCCAATGATATATAAATGATGTAAATTTAGTCAATTTTCACATATCTACTTCACTTTGAGAGGCACGTGGCATTAAACAAACCACAGGTGAATGTAGAGGATGCTTGATCCCTTACTACACAATGTATTTTGCTAAACACCAACAATAAATAGGTATTTGTATTGTGAAAGAGAAGATTTTAAGATCGTGGATTTTGAATTGACTTTCCTGCTGCCATTTGATAACTGGAAAATCTGTAATGCTGTAATTGTAAATTTTGTCTCTTGGGACGAATTAGGCACACCCACTACTCAAAATCAACCATGAAAACGACTCTGCATAGATAAGATACAATCACTATCGTATTGGTTCTAGTTACACTTGAACATGAACAAGCAGGCTGCTCATTGACTCCCTTAGCATTTTAATTTATGGTTACTCATTCCTGAGTAAATAAGCGTCTGTCAATCGAAACTACATCAGGCATGCTATTTATGTCTATGCAGACTTTCCAGTATGGACTACAGGCCGTCGCCAAGTTCTTAAGTTGAATTTGTATCTAAGTTTGCAGTGTTATATGATTTATTTACGGTATTTATATTCTGCCCTTCTCACCCCGCAGGGGACTCAGGGCGGATTACAATGCACAAATACATGGCAAACATTCAATGCCATAGACATAAAACATATATAGGCAGACATAGAGGCAATTTAACATTCCAGCTTCATGAGGGTATGCTCAATTCCAGCCACAGGGGGAGCTGTCGCTTCACCGTCCACTTGTGACGCCGAGTCTTTGATGGAGTACTTCCTCATTCTTACGCACGTTGCTGGAAGGTTTTATGGTGTCTTAAATTTGTTAAATTGGCCTCTTCACATAAAGCGGTACCTAAATTTCCTACTTGACAGATGCAACTGTCTTTTGGGGTGTATAGGTCAATAGCAGGCTAGACTATTAATAGTCAGCAGCTTACTCCAACCCAGGCTGGCTACTAACTAGTTGCGCCACAGCCTGGTGTATTATTTAGTGTATTTTTAGCTTTGGACAGCATGAGGAAGGGTTAACATCCCTATGGAGTTTGTTTTGCTGTTTGCGTCCTGTTCAGAAGACTTCATGTTACTTTCTGTCCCTGTAATAATTGAAGTTTGAAAAAATTGGTTTGTTGTGGAAACAATGACTGATTCTAAAGCTTCAGTTGAGACACCTTTTCCCCATGATAACTCTTTCAAGAGTGAATTTACCTTCTTAGGGGTAGATGTCTCTCACTTCCTGTAGTCTCACCCCTGTTCTTAACTATGAACCATTTTTTTGTAAGTCAGATGTTTGTAACTCAAAGACTGCCAGTAGTTTCAAAGCTTTAAAAAGTCCTAGGCTCATCCCTAACTGGAGTGCAGTTACTAGCAGTTCTGCACAGAAGAGTTCTGTGCAGGACTGCTAGTAAATCTAAAAGAGTTCAGAATCTAGAATTGTCCACCTGGGTGGCTGAGATTGAGACACCACTGACTTCTGATAGTTCAATGTCCACAACATTGTTTCATGCACAAAACCATTACATTGAAGTATTGTATAAAATTACTTTCAGGTTACATGTATAATGTATATAAGGTAAAGTAAAGGTAAAGATTTCCTCTGACATTAAGTCTAATCGTGTCCGACTCTGGGGGGTGGGATGCTCATCTCCATTTCTAAGCCAAAGAGCCGACGTTGTCCGTAGACACCTTCAAGGTCTGCATGGAGCGCTGTTACCTTCTTGCAGAAGCGGTACCTATTGATCTACTCACACTTGCATGTTTTCAAACTGCTAGGTTAGCAGAAGTTGGGCCTAACAGTGGGAGCTCACCCCGCTACCCGGATTCGTACTGCCAACCTTTTGGTCAGCAAGTTCAGCAGTTTGCTGCATCACCAGGGGATCGTCATTATATAAATGAAACATAAATAAATTTTGTGTTTTGACTACGATCCCATCCGCAAGATATCTATACATACATGCAAATAAAAGTATATATAAAAATTAACAACCAAAAAGAAAAACACTTCCAATTACATGCATTTGGGGATAAGGGATATTCAACCTGAAGATATTAATTGACAAAAAAGAACTGGGGAACTGTGTGTGTTGGTCAGGTTGTTTTTTTACCACTTCCTAACATATTTTTGTCTCTGTGCCTTAGACAGTAGCCAACATCTCAGGATCATTTTATTGTGATAAGGAGAACATTTTAGTCCAATGCTTATCCTGACATCACCCAAAACTTCACAACAGGATTATTATACTGATTAAGGGTAGGATGGTCAATGTGTGGCCCTTGATCTCTCATTATTACCAGGTGAGAATTACTGTTCAATAACATTTGAAAGGCTCCAGGTCCAATCTTTCCCCTACCCACTTGCAAGATGAGAACCTCAAGCAATCACTTCTTGGTTTCCATTGTCCATTTTTTCTCTTTAATTAACATGATATCATGGCTCATTTGTCCTCAATCATATGCTAAATTATTAGTCGTATACAAATTCTGCCTGACTTCTGCTTGCATTACTGCCTGCATAGGGCAAAACCAAGAGTAGTTCATAGAAAATAATAGAGGAAATCCAGAATGTTTGTGCATTTTTCACTTACTGGGCAGTAGTGTCTTCCTCCCTAACCACTACAAAAGTTGAAAAAGATGTGTTTCTATATTTTGCCTTTCAGTATGAATCTAACAGCTCCCTTTCCAGTCAAATATACACACTAAAGATTCCTCCCAAGTATAAAAAAAAACCCTATCTTCCTCTGTGATGACCCTGATTCAAATTCCAATCCAATAGGCACTAAATTACTTCTTTATTAGAGTGAATGATTCCACAGCTGGGTACTACAAAGGCCAAAAACAGCAAAAGAAAAAGTTTGTTTCTCTATAAGTTTTTCCAAAAAAATAAACAATGTTTTAGTTATACATGGAGAGGGTCTGGCACTTCTAGGCAGGTCAGGGAAAGATTCTTGTCTGAAATCAAAGTGAGGTAAAGTGGATCAAACATAGCTTTCCTGCATACCTAATCATTTCCAAGTGGACAAAACATCTTTAACTCAACAGGGCATTACAAAGTCTTTGCCAAGTTTTCCAAAATACAAACAAAAAAACTCTCCTCCAATCTTTCTAGCTTTATGTGCATTAGAAGAGACAAGTGCTTAATTAGGGCCTTACAAAAGAAATCACACACAAAAATAACACGAGGCTGGCCAGATTTATATCTCAGGAATGTTACCATGGCCAGATTTAGCTTTTGCTCAAATTAGCAAGAAGAAAGCTAGAACCCTGCTTTCACACCATTGTATGGCACCTGGAGAACTACCAAGATCATGAATATAAGGAGGGAATTACCAAAAACAGGAGCCATTAAGAAATTCGCCAAAACAAAAAAACTACAGCACAGTTACCGTATAAGTAAAGGTAAAGGTTTTCCCCTGACATTAAGTCAAGTCATGTCCGACTCTGAGGGTTGGTGCTCATCTCAATTTCTAAGCCGACGAGCTGGCATTGTCCGTAGACACCTCCAAGATCATGTGGCCAGCATGACTGCAAAGAGCACCATTACCTTCCTGCTAAAATGGTACCTATCGATCTACTCACATTTGCATGTTTTCGAACTGCTAGGTTGACAGAAGCTGGGGCTGATAGCGGAAGGTCACACCACTCCCCAGATTCGAACCTGCAACCTTTCGGTCAACAAGTTTAGCAGCTCAGCGGTTTAACCAACAGCGCCACCGGAGGCTCCCAGTTATCGTATATACTTGAGTATAAGATGACCCCAATAAAAGCCGAAACACCTAATAATATGTATTGACTCGAGTATAAGTTGAGAGTGGGAAATGCAGCAGCGATTGGTAAATTTCAAAAATAAAAATAGATACCAATAAAATTGCATTAATTGAGGCATCAGTAGGTTAAATGTTTTTGAATATTTACATAAAACTGTAATTTAAGATAAAACTGTCCCACTCTGATTAAACCATTAGTTTAACCTTCTTCAATGTAAATGTGCTTACATATCCTTCCAATAATAATAGAGTAAAATAATAAATGTAATAATAATAAGACTAGAATAATAAAAGTAATAAAAAGAATAATAGAGGAAAATAATGTAAATATAATAATCATAACAATAATAGAGTAAAATAATAAATGTAATACAAATAATAATAATAACAGAGTAAAATGATAAATAACTTTGATTCGAGTATAAGCCAAGGGGGGCTTTTTCAGTCTTAAAAAAGGGCTGCAATACTCGGTTTACACTCGAGTATATATGGTACACTAACAACAATCTTACAAGAAACTAGGTTATGTTGAGATTTCAGTTTCTAAAAAATATTTCAGGGGGAGACCACTATACTTAAAGCTATTATCTCTTATAATTGACAGTCAGCATTTAAAAGCTAACTCCAGATCTGTATGGACAACACTGGCTGCATTTGATGCTGCTCTGCTGTACCACTTGACAATTTCACATAAAGAAATGCCATGCCACAAAGGACATATCCCCCACCCTTAAGTTTAAATGAGCAATTAATGCCTGTGAACTGTTTACCTGGTATAAATGCTCACAATCTCCTTACCAAGAGGGATTGACTTAAGCGCAGCTATCCTTTAAAATGGGAATTGTAACATGTAGATTGGCACTCTACCGTTCCTTTTTAAATACATATAAAATTGCTGCCAAAGCTTCATATTATTATTATAATTAATCCAACATAAATGAGGTCAAGATTTCGTATCAGTTGTTACCAACAGCACAGTGTCTATCTATAATATTCATCATGAGAGCTTGCCTTTGATACTATAAACAAAGATCTTCATCCATGCTGAACGATAAGCATGCCATGCACTATATCTCTAGGCAAGGATATAGAGAACAGAGACAAAAACTGGATGCCAATTCCAGCCAAAGCAGCACAATTCCTATAAACTGAAATTATGCTTAAAAGTAAGAGTATTT